ACACGAAAATTAGTCCAGATGAGACACAGCCTTGCCTAGACTATATTTAGTCTAATTGCAGTGCTTTCTCTCCCCTGGAGGAGGCTTGGCTCCTCTCTGCAGGTGGGAGGCCAGAAGGGGAAGAAAATGAAGCAGAATGGAGGAGGCCTTGGCTTGCAGTCCCCTTCTCAGAAGGGAGGCTCAGCGGGTGCAGCCTGTGTCTCGGTTTCCAGAAACGGGGTTTACCCCCTAACCCTGCCCCAGGAAAGAAAAGAAGGGACACTGGATAAAATCAAGACGTTATGGCTCGGTTTTGCACTTCAAATTAGATTTCAAAATGATTCATAGTAAGACAATAGTCCAGATAGTCAGATTTTGTTGATAGGGATATTTCTCAGAAATCCTAAAGCCAGGTTTCTACAAAACAAAGAAGAGGACTAACCACCCACTAAATCAGAGAGAGCAGAAAGCATAGATTCCTGCCACACATGGAGGAGAAAGCCCTTCCTCCAGAGGGGACTAGAGCTGGGGACAAGAAGGAAGCGCTTCGATGCAGGTCTTTCTTCACCTGGGTGCCGGAACTCTGAGATAGAGAACACTTGATAAATACGGGGGAAGCTGAGGATATCAAAACTGGTGTCCTGAGTCCCCAGGCTGAGGGTGGGGATACTGATTACTGCCTGACAAACTCTGGCATCGGCTTGGTAGTGCAGTCACAGCTGAAGGAGGTGCCTGTGCACAGATGTTTACAGCAGCTTCGTAATTGACAAAAACTTGGAAGCATCCAAGATGTGCTTGCGTAGGTGATTGGATAAACTGTTGTACATTCAGACAATGGAATGTTATTCAGCACTAAAAATAAATGAGCCATCAAGCCATGAAAAGACAAGGAGGAAACTTAAATGCATGGAACTCAGTGAAAGATGATCTGCAAAGGCTGTATATGGTATGATTCCAACTACATGAAATTACAAGAATAGAAAGATCAGATTTTGCCAGGTGATGTGGGGAGCAGGGATGAATAGGTGAAGGATGGAGAATTTGTAGGACAGTGAAAGTGTTCTATATGATACTGTAAGGGTGGATACATGTCATTACATACTTGTTAAAATCCACAGATGGGGGCTTCCCTGGTGTTGCAAGGGGTTAAGCACCGCACTATGAAGCAATCTGCAGCCTCTGCAGCTTGAGTTCGATCCCCGGCCAGCCAGGGAGCAACCCACATGGCGCAGCAGACCTCTCCTGACTCGCCCGCTGCTGCCAGCAGCAGTGTGTTTCAGTCAGTCTGCCTGTTCTGTTCCCTGCTCTGTCTCTGGTGAATCCTCTCACCCCCCACACCTCTGGCCTGTACCCCAGCTCTTGTATGCATATATAAATCTTAAAAAAAAAAAAAAAGCAAAATCCACGGACAGTACAAGACTAAACAATGAACTTTAGTTGACAGATGTGTCAATGTCGATTCATTGAATTTAACAAATATACCAACTTTGGTTGATAGTGGGGGAAGCTGTGATATGTGGGAGCAGGGAATGTATAACTCTCTATACTTTCCCTTTAGTTTTGCTACGAACTTGAAATGGCTCTAAAAACAAAAGCTTCTTACAAATACAGGAATCAAAAACTGAAAGAATTGCAAGGAGAGATAAATCTACCACTGTAATTGAAGATTGTAATATTCCTGTGTCAATAAAGTATGGAAAACACGAACAATTTTATCAACCAACTTGAACTAATTGATATTTATAATACATTTCCCCACTAGCAACAGAATGCACATTTTTCTTTTCAAAACAGATTGAATCATAAAACAAGTGTTATTAGAAGGATTCAAGTCACATAAAGTTTATGTTCTCTGAGCACAATGGACTTAAGAGAAAAATCTGCAGTCTCCAAATATCCAGAAGTCAGACAGGGCACCTCTGAATTAACATGGACTAATGAACAAATCAAAATTAGAAGGTATTTTGAATTGCAGAAAAAATGAAAAATCATGTCAGAATTGTTGGGAGGCTGCTGAAGCAGTAATTAGGAGGAATTTTTAGTATTAAACACACATATTAGAAAACAAGAAAGTTCTCAAATTACTGACATCAACTTCCATTGTAAGACATTAGACAAAAAGAGCAAATTAAGCTGAATATAAGCAAAAGTAGCAAGCAAGCATCAGGGCCTCCCTGGTGGCACAGGGGTTAAAATCTCAGTGGTATCAAGCTATCAACAGCCACTGGGGCTTAAGTTCAAACCCAGGCCAGGGAGCTGACTCACATGGTGCAGCAGACCTCTCCTGACTCGCCCGCTGCTCCCCTCAGCAGTGTATTTCAGCCGATCTGCCTGTTCTGCTCACCACTCTGTCTCTGGTGAATCCGCTCACTCCCACACCCCTCGCCTAAGCCCCAGTTCTTGTATGCATAAAAAAAAAAATCTTAAAAAATGAAAAAGCAAGCATCAGATTGGAAATCAATGAAAACCAATGAAGAATATCAATGAAATCAAAGCTAAATAGTGCTGGAGTAAACACGGGAGTGCAAGTTGCCTTTCAAATTAGTGTTTTTGATTTTTTTTGGTAGATGCCTAGAATCACTGGGACAAATGGCTATTTTTAATGTTTTGAGACGACTCCATATTGCTTTCCACCAGCGCTGGGCCAGTTCGCATACTCACCAGCAGTGGAGGTTTCCCTTTTCTCCACATTCTTGCCAACAAAGCCATTTTAAAATTAACCATCTCTGCTGCAGAGAAAAGAAACTCACATTTAATTTCCTTATCCATGATTTTTCTTTTTGGTATTAGTTTTCATTTTTTTTTAAAGATTTATTTATTTATGCACACAAGAGCTGGGGTACAGGCCAGAGATGTGGGGGGTGAGAGGATTCACCAGAGACAAGTGGGGAGAAAAGGTGGATCTACTGAAATACACTGCTGAGGAGAGCAGCAGGCGAGTCAGGAGAGGTCTGCTGTGCCATGTGGGTAGCTCCCTGGCCAGGGATCAAACTCATGCTGCAGTGGCTGTGGACAGCCTTATAGGTTGCGTCTCAACCCTTGAACCACCAGGGAGGCCCTTGATGTTAAGTTTTTATCCTGGTAAAATATACACACACTTTCCCATTTTAAGCTTTTAAATGTACGGTTCTGTGGCATTACATCCACATTATAGAACCATTACTGCCATCTCCAGAACTTTAAACTCCCCATTGCTATCCACCCCATCACTGACAGCCACAACTGTACTCTGAATTTCACTACTCTAGTATCTCATTTAAGAGTAATCATACAGGGCCTTCCTGGTGGCGCAGCAGGTTGAGCGCAGTGCTGTGATGCCACCTGCAGCCTCTGCAGCACCAGTTTGATTCCCGGCCAGCTAGGGAGATACCCACATGGCGAGGCAGACCTCTCCTGTCTCGCCCGCTGCTCCCCTCAGCAGTGTACTTTGGTCCTTTTGCCTGTTCTACTCCCCGCTGTCTCTGGTGAATTCGCTCATCCTCCTGCACCTCTGGCCTGTACCCGTGCTTGTATAAATAAATCTTAAAAAAAAAAAAATCATACAATATTTGCCCTAGTGTGGCTTACTTCACCTACCATGTCTTCAAAGTTCATGCATACCGTTGCATCAGTCATAATTTCATTCCTTTCTTAAGGTGTAATATTCCATTTCATATATGGACACATTTTGTTTATCAATGACACTTGGGTTGTTTCACCTTTTAGATATTGTGAATATTGTTCTGAACATTAACGTACAAATGTCTGTTGGAGTCTCAGCTTTCATTTCCTGAGTATATATCCTGAAGGGAAACTGCTGGATCATAGGGTAGCTCAATGCACAAGTGTTCCAACATTTGTCCTTGGCAACACTGTTTTCTTATTTAATAATAGCTAACCTAATGGGTGTGAAGTTCTCGTTGTGGTTTTTTTTTTTTTTTTAATAGAGGCATGCTTTTATTTATTTGTTTGTTTGTTTTTGTTTATACACGCACTGGGTACAGTCAGAAGCGCGGGAGGGTGAGAGAATTCACCAGAGCCAGAGCGGGGAGCAGAACAGGCAGAAGGACCGAAGTACACTGCTGAGGGGAGCAGCGGGCGGCAGGAGAGGTCTGCGCGCCATGTGGGACCCTCCTCTGGTGGCTGGGGAGCAGCCGGGGATTGAACCGGTGCCGCAGAGGCCGCGGGCAGCTTCGCAACCCAGCGCTCAACCGCTGCGCCACCGGGGAGGCCCTCTCGTTGTGGTTTTGATATACATTTCCATATTGACTGGTGACGCTAAGCATCTTTTGATTTGCATGTATCTTTAGAGAAATGTCCAATCAATCCCTTCAATGATTTTAATGTTTTGCAGTTCAGTTGTAGGAATCTCTTGTATGTTGTAAATAATGACTTATCATTTGCAAATGACTTACAAATAAATGTTTCCATTTTGTATTGCCTTTTCATTGTCGGTAATATCCTTTGATGCACAATTCTTTGGTTTTCAATAAAATCCTACTTTTGTTTGCTGCCTATGCTTTTGCCATAGTCAAAAAAATCATTGTTAAATTCTGTTATGAGGGTTTCCTGTTTTTTTTCTAGTTTTACAAATTTAGCTCTTAATGGATAGTCTTCAATCCATTGAGTTTTTATATATGGTGTAGGGTAAGGGTTCAAATTCATCCTCTTGCATGTGGATATCAAGTTTTCCCAACCACCCTTTCCTCTTGCCACATTGTCAAAAAGCATCTGACCATATAGGTGATGATTTATTTCTGGGCTGTCTATTCTATTACTTTGGCTTATCTACCTCTACACAATTACATTGTTTTGATTGTAGCTTTGTAGTATGGGTTCCCTTTTTAATTTTTGAAATATACACATTCATCTTTCTGGCTCATGTTGAGTTTACTGATCTCCTGAGTGTTAGACTGGCATGCTCTGTAGTACCCACATTTAGCCAGAACCCAGGGACAACTGTGCAAACAGGCATAAGGGAAGATGGGGCAACAAGCAGGCAAGTCATTCCAATTGGTATCTGGTATCTTTGGAAAAGAAAAGGCACAGTCACTAGAGTAAAACTGTATGCCTTTATTCAACATAAACTGAGTCATTAAGATGAAATACAGTTTGTCCATGTGCAGAAACATTATTATACATTCAATTCTGAAGAAGGTAGTTTTATATGACCAATAAAAAGAACAGACTAAAAGTGAGAGGAATAAAGATAGTGAGGAGCTAATAAAAGGCAGAGTTTTTTCTGTCAAAGTGCTAAGGCCTATGTGCACAGAGATTTTAAAGTGAACAAGACCACCATAAGGTCATTTCTTCCATTCTGATTTCTCTTGGTGCTAGTGCAAGTCTTAAGGTGTGATGCAATGAGTCACAGAATTAAGATGGGTTTTTAAAAAACAGGTCATAGCACTTACGGCTAAGAGAAAAGTTTCATTTCTAGAGTTTCGTTTATCAAGTACTCTAGATCTTCCATGGATTCTAAAGAAATTTTGAAAATTCACTAAGAACAAACTTGCTCTTCAATCAGTAGTTTATTATCAGAGAATAAATTATCAGGTCTTCCCAGTCTAGAAGCTACCTCCTTATGCAACAAAAGTGAAAACAAATTTAAGATCAGGACTCCAAATTTCATTAACTTAAAGCTTATTCAAAGCAATTACACATAGGTTTAGCTGGGGTCCCTACTTAAGTTTTCAAAATGTCATTGCCTAAAAACCTAAAACGAAAATTGTTAACTTAGGGTCAAAGTCCAACTCCAACATTTCCAAGCTCTAGGTATCTGAAAACACAGACCCTGGTTATTGAAAAGAACCAAGAAATGCATTTTATGTATCACACTTTCCATAGGAAGGATATAGGTTGGGCATAAAATAATATTTCTAAAGTGTCTTCAAATATTTTGATAACATTTAATGTGCTTTCTTGCTGAGCTCATCTGAATTTTAAATATTTAAAGCTCCAAGATCAAGTTTAAAAAATTAAGTGTTGACTCAAGTTGGTTTAATATAGTGTCTGAGCTAACATCTGCGTCACTTACCAGACACAAGTGCACAACCCTAAATCAGCAGTAAAGCCTATCACTAGATAGTTCAATAAAAAACCATTACCAAGCTCACAAAATATCCCAAATCAAATTCCATGTTCCACTCATGGCAATTCAACATTGTTACGAATCCAAAACCCTAAAAAATATATTCACAGTAAAAGAATAACTCAAGGCTTACTTAAGCCTATCTTAGATCCAATCTTGGGTTTACCTTTCTTCTGCCCAGGGATTCTCTAGGTTTCGCAGTCAAGATGAAATTGAGGGTATGTTTTTAAATTCCCTTTTGCTTCTTCAGTTTGAAGAACCAGGAAAACTGAGTTTGAAGTTATTATTCAGGAGAACCCGCTATCTAGTCACAGTCCATCACCACAGCTGAATCATGTCTGGGTGGCTCTCTTCCAAGTTCAGTTTCCTGTTACAAAGAAATCTTCCTAGGGAATAAATTCCCTTTTTTGAATAGAAAGCTACACAGGGGTATACAGAACACTTAGTTTATAGTCTATTAAAAAAATCCAATTTTCCAATTAAGGTCACCAAGAATTAGGAAGATGTAGTATCATCTACTCTCCTACTTCCTGGAGAGTTGAGACTACATTACAGAGTGGAAGACACCTATCTCTTTGACTGAAAGGTGAAAATGAATATAGGGTACATTGTAGAATTTGAGTTGCAAACCCAACAATCCAGTTTAAAGATAAATGGTAAGGAAATTTAAAGAGTAAGTATTGATGAAATACAAGCTATTCTTTTAACACCTTTCTACAAAAAGCCCTTAAATAATGATTTAGTTCACTAAAAAGGGCTAGAGTCCTACCGAAGTCTAATTCAAGTTTGTGATACACAGAAAAAAAGTGAATCCTACAGTATTAAAGTTTAAAGAACATTAATTTTATCCATTCATGGAGGGAAAAAAACCCAGGTTACATCTCTTTAACAACTTAAAATGAAGTGATACACTTCCTCCTCACCAGTCTGTATGATGTAAAAAATCAAGGAATGCTTTTTTATTCCCTTTAGCTTGAACAGTGATAGCTTAGCTCTATTACCTACCCAATTGTTAGCTGAAAGGGTTAGTTGAACATTAGATAAAGCATCTTTCCAGGCATACACCAGAAGTAATCGACAGGGATTACTTTTGGTCAGTCTCTCTTAATCTGACTGAAAGGTGAAAATGGGTATGTTGGCATATAGGATTTCAGTCACAAATCCAACAATCCAGGTTAAATACAAATGGTAAAGAAAATTTAAGAATAAGCACTGACAAAATACAGTGTTACCAAGGTATTTCTTAACATTTCTATAAACAAGTCTAGATCTCCCGATGACAGTTCTCAATAAACAAACATGGCGACTCATTTCCACATTGCTGTTTCAAATAGGAGCAATGCATGTGTCTTGTCATTGTTTCACCCAGTACCTCCATGTCTACTATTTCGTAACTCAAACTTGCAACATGTCTTGGAAAAGGTGGTCAGATGCAGACGCATGCTATTTGGTTACTACTCTAGGAAGGCCTTTACAATTCACATAACTGCTTTTATTTATTCTTGCTTAACCAGAACTTTACCACAGTGCTTAGCACATAGTTGGTACTCAATAAACATTTGAATTAGTGAAAAACAAGACTTATATGCAAAAATAGCTAGAAACATTATGCAAAATCCGACCTCTGAAGACCACCTATGGCCTAGTAGTGTCAAAAGCAATGAACACAGGTTTCAACAACTGTGATGAAAATAAAGTTGTGGCTGCAAGTCAACACTATGTTCTTGGTATACTACTCTTTCTTACTCAACTACAGACCAACCATACCCTTAGGCTCCTGCCATTACCTGAATATAAATTTTATTTCCCATGAGGTAGAAGGCCCATTAAAATAATTATAAATATGTACTAGAAAGGTGTGTCTGTAAATGGTCATCACAGATTGGTTTGCACACACTAATATTTCACCTTCATCCCTATCTACTATACATGGGAATTATGAGGATGCAGATGATGTTCCCTGAGACTTTATAAATTTCCTTTAGAAAATAGTATACTTTCAGCAAAGATTGAGAGTTATCTTGGATGGCTAAATTATCTGCCATGTCTTTGGGCAAGTCTGATGTACGAAATTTTAATTTTTGCAAAATAACAAGACTGTCTTTAAAGAAGCATTCCATGTATCCTTATTAAATTCCAAAATAAGCCATTTTTATTGGTGAAAATAACCACAGCTGAGTAATTATGGGGAGAACGATGGAACTACAAAAACAAGTCAGCTTCACTGGTCATTAAGATACATTTCCTCAAACAATGGGCATATTAATTTTTCTGTAGGTCAATAAATGTCATTCATTTTGAGAATAGGCTATATACCTTTATTGCCAGAGACTGACTAGGTATCATTTTTTTCCCTCAATTGTATCCACTTCAAACCAAGTATTTACATCCATAAAATGAATTCTCTTCGACAGCAGGATTCCAGATTATCTCTAGCTATGAGACTATAGACAATTAACTTTCTCCTAACATATGGCTCAGTCGTCATTTCCATAAACGCCTGACCTGACACTGGGCAGATCAAAATTCAAGCTCTTCTATCCCTCCACGTCAATCAGGAAGGAAATAAAACTACTACGAAACTCACTTCTTGGAGAAGAATCGGGAAACAGAAAAGGAAGTTTTCTTCATGAGATTTTGTCACATACCCTATGGCTTGCAGGGTGGTGGCAGGGAATGTTTCGTTAATTATTAATCACTGGAAACAAAGAAAAATCTATTTCCCCCCTGAGACATTTTACCATTCTTTGTTTTAGAAGCAAATAGTGGGCACATTAAAAAGTTTTTTTTACTAATAGGTGGTTAGAAGACATAACAGTTCTAGGAGGGGATCACAGAAACACAGATCAGGAGAATTTAGTATTTTTACTAGAGTTCTGATGGAAATATACTACCCTGATTTGTTTATCACCAAATTTCTCTTCTCACTCTCCCCTACACAATCTGTGGTAAGCTCCCGGTGGTAGTATAAGGCAATAACTGAGGGCCCTGCCAACGTACTCTTAGATGTATGTCAGACCTCAAGATTCACCAAAAACTCCAAGGCTTTTATTTTCACTTTAATTATCTTTTACTTAATAATAAAATGAAAAATAAGAATATATGAATACATACAATCTATATACATATATTTATTGCAAATACTTAAAATTCTTATGTAAAATGATTTTTCTATATTTGTGAAAAAATACGACTTTTTAAATGGTGTCGACACCAACTTCTCTGTACATACCCTCAATTCCAATGTTAACAATTCCTTTAAAAAGGCGAAAGACACAAGAAAGTTTTGCATTTACCAAACCGTCTGTACAAACCTTATAGCCAGAAGGGAAAAAAATAGCTTGTAGTAAATAAGTCAACTTTCTTTTAAAATAAAAAACTCCAAAACTATTCCCCTTATTGCATTTTTTTGGAAATAATTTGAACGTCTTTAGAGTAACTTCCTTTGAAATAATTTGTGCCTTAACAGTGAGGTTCTACATTAAACACACCATACGCAAAATTCAAAGTCTTCCACTGTCGCTTTTTACATAGATATTAAAATATATATTACTTAAAATATATTACTGGAAAGCTATGTTTAAAATTGATCTTTAATAAGTTGTATCAAATGTAAAGCATTAAAAAAAATAAAGTAACCAAGAATCTATGAAGCTCTCATTTCAACTTTAGGAAATGTTCTACCTATTGCTCTCTTGCAATAGGTATGTAGGTATTGAAACACGGTAGGGAAGATCCCTGACTAGAATCATGTTTCTCAGTCTCTTTGGACTATTCTATAAATTGAGCTGATGACTACCCTTGGCTAAGCTTTTTACTCCGCATACTGCTGCAATGTGTTGGGGAGCCTTTTCCCTCCTTGCTGTGATTTGAAACTGATAGGCCACAGAGAAAAATAACCCTGGCACTGCTCACTGACAGTGAGTTCTAGAAATAAATAGCGGTGTAATGACCAGAGAAGACCCACTCACTCCCATTACAACAAATTTCACCAGAGAGCTCTTTAAGGACTCAACGGTGGAGAAAGGCAATATTTAGCAATTAGGATGGTAACTGTCAGGTCATTATGTATGAATTCATGCCTTCACCTGGAAGGCAGTAAGGCTTTCCTTTGGCTACTGGAATCTGAAATAATTCCTAAAACATCTGCGTGTGCACCTCCAACTCCATGTAATTAATATGCTTCCCCTGCTACAAAAATTGCCAGAAATTCCTTTAAAAATGTTACATGGGATATACCACAGTTTCAGTATCGTGAGCACAGGGGTGAAGACTAGAATTAGGGTAAACAACGTAAGGTTATCTGGCATTATCTTCTGTTTAGTAAGACAGAGAATTTTAATCAAAGTTGTTTGAGATTCAGGGAGCCTTCTCTACGAGAACACTCGTAAGAAAGATGAGATGATATATTGTTAATGCTTATCTCTCCATGGTGACCTGCAGAGGAAGGATTGTGAAAACTCAAGAAGCACACACTGTAGGCGCAGCATCAGGCAGAATGCTAGACTAGTCACTGGAAATGGCATAATTTAATAAAAATAACTTCAGTACTTACTAGAAACAGTTCAAACTGAATGGAAAGGAAAAGCAACTTAAAACTTAAGATATAAACTGCTTTATAAGGTAGTATAGTACCATACTCTAGTAATTTTTCTTATTCTTCATTCACTTTCAAAAGGGTCAGATTGTAATTTTTTCTCTTGTTCAGCTCATGAGATAACTTTATACTTGAAATCGCTGTTTTAAAACAAATCAATAGTGGATTATATTCAATTTACTAACAATGGTCAAAATTATTTCTGTCTTACAATCTCTGTTTCGGGGGCACTGATAAATGCAAATATTTTATTAGTTGGGTATTGGTAAGAGAATCAGGTGAATAGTAATGCTTGGGAACTATCTGCAAGAGCCTGGGAGAAGGTGAAGAGGCACAATGTGGTTTGCTCTCCAAATGGACCTGAAAATCCCTGATGCTCTTCCTAATTTTTCTGGTTAGTCTGTCCATCTTAGAATAAAGGCGCCACAGAGGAGAGACGTCCTGTGACAGGAAAGGTGTGAGGAAGAAAAATCACTTTGCTCAATCCGAACTGGTTATTAAAATTTAGCATGGGGTTAGTTATGAAACTCTCAACCATTCAGGCAGGCAGCCCTCAATCCTGCCACTGAAGTGGGGTGTGAAGAAGCTGGGCATGGAGAAGTTCACCCAGCAATAGGTCTCCTGAAATCCCTTTTGGATTAACCAGGGCACTGATAAGTATGGGAACAGAACAGTTTCTGTTTCCTACTGTTTCCTACTGTCCTACTGTTCTTGGCTGGAGAACTGATTCCTTATCCCTAGATGCTTGCAGTCTTTGTATCTCTTAGCTAGGTGTGTACTAGAAGGAAAAGGGCTGCTGAAATGACGTTATCAATGCTATCTTGTCTGAAACTACAACACAGATATCAATCCTATATTTGCCTTGGGTCACAAAAAAACCAAAAAACAAAACCAAAAAAAAAAAAAAAAAGATGAAAAAACAGGGCCTCCCCTGGTGGCGCAGCGGTTGAGCTCTGGGTTGCGAGGCTGCCCGCAGCCTCTGCAGCGCCAGTTCGATCCCCGGCCACCGGCGAGGGTCCCACAAAAAAAAAAAAAGGGAAAGAAAAAACAGTACAGTTATGGGGTCTGGAAATATTAAGAGTATATAATGGAGGAGGAGGGGCACGCCATGGGGGGAAAACAGAAATGGGACACAGCAAAGATTAGTACTCCTTATCTGGAGTGTGACGTAATTAATGAGTTTAAACTGTTTTGTATTTTGTAAATATTACATTCTGAGTATGTAGTACAGCAAGAATGGCACTAGGTTGCACTATTAATAACACTTGAAATTAGGAGACTTAAAATCAATATGCAAATGATGCACACTGACAATCCCCAATCTTTTAATACCAAATTCTAGTAAGTTGTAGGTTTATTTTAACATTGTTTAACCATGTCCTAAATATATGTAATCAAAAATACTTCAGTCACTAGAGACAGGATTTAAAAAACAGCAAAAAAGGAAACAAAAAATAATAAACAACAATAAAACTTTGCAGCTAATTTCTCTTTCTAGACGTTCCCTTCACCATCCACCAAGCCCTTCACACTAGAAATCTTTGAATATACATAGCAATAATCCAGAACTGGGGGCATATTTCCTAATACAGGAAAAGTCATCTTTACTGTGTATGTGTGAGTACATACCTAAGTGTTCAAAGCAATACACCATTACTCCATGCTCCTCAGATGCCTGGGAGGCCAAAGCAGGTTTAACAGAACGGGCAAGGCAACGCTACTGAGCCTGCAGAAACAGCTGACTACAGAACATCAGGTGATGGGGTTTGGATAGAAGAGGAAAAGAGTAGCCTCGTTTCTAGAGTTAAAACTGTTTCCAAAGTTGTTTAATAATTTCTGTACCTTTACTTCCCTCGCTCAACAAAACAGAGTTCAAATTACCCCAACACTAACATGTTTCCATTAATTTTATCTTGGTATTTCGAACCTGCTAGTAAGCTCCCAAGAATGACCAAATGCTTGGACATTAATGCTGGAACCGTTGCCCAGCACAGGCACTGGTAACATGAGAGGCTAGAGGAGGCAGACCGTGCATGGACCACATTCACTATCTCCCGCCTGGGGAGTGGGATGAGCCTGAACAGCAGAGATCCACTAATTGTAAGCAGACTGCTTAGCAACAGCACTGGCTTATGGAAACCAAGAACCAAGTCAGAGCTTTCAGAGTCTGAAATACTACCTGGGAAATCAAGGCCTTATCAAAAATTTGAACTTAAGAAGGTTCCATCTAAAGTTAAAGGGACTGCGTAAATCCTGACTCCGAGTCCTAGAGAGCCTTCAGTCAAACTGTCAAGACATAATCAACATGAATGATCATTTCAACAAACTGTTCCTTCACACCTTCTTTTCCTAGCCTCTGAGGAAAGGACAGAAGGGAAACCAATTCCTTTCTCCATGTATGGCATTAAACTCATCTCGGTCACATGAAGTGGAACATAAATCTGAATTGAAAGTAATACATTATTGCCTAAGCACTTGGAAAAATAATGTTAAAACAAAATGTGACATATTTACATGATTTTGTAAGTGCAAACTTGTCACGAATTCACAAAGTCTTGCTTGACTGAGACTTACTATACAAGGTGCTCTTCCCTAAAATGTGAGATCTGTATGTCTTCTGTATTCCTGATTAAAAGTAACATTTATCTCTTAGGACAACTGAAACCTACTCGTTTATTTCTGTGATTCCAAAAGGATGCAAAAAACACATCAACCTTTCCCTTCTTGCCCCCGTTACACTGAGTTCTCTTTCTGGTCTCATTACCGAACCACCAGGCAGGAGACACACAGTTTGGAGGGACCAATGCAATCATCATGGCAGAATGCTCCGCAGCCCTTGCACATGATCATGGCTTTCAATCGGCAGTAACATTTTGAAGGCGTGTCCTCTATGCTGTTCTCTTCAGGAAAAGCCTGGACAGGAATGGTCTGGCCATGGCTGCTGGGATTCATTGCTTGGCTAGCAGGGATGGTAGTGACAGTCACTGAAAAGGACATGACATCACCGACGTTGCTAGGTACCTGGCCACAGTCAGGCATCCCTGGAACAGCAGAGTTATGGTCCATGTCAGATGAGGTGGAAACATTGATCATGCCTCTGTAGCTTGGCCCGATCTGTGTGGGGCTTCCGTACAGCTTTGGGGTTTGCAGAGGTGGAAGGACCAGAGGCTGATGGGTGGGACTGTCTGCAGATAGAGGAAGAGCAGAATTGAAAAGCTCAGGGCTGCTACGCATTGTCTTACCTCTCACTGCATGAGCCATCTGCTTCTTTGCTGCCTGGATAAAATCTCTGGCTAGGGTCTTTTCATCAAATGTTTGGCCTCTACTGAATAGGTAATTCTCCTTGCTTAAAGAGGTCTGCTCATGCACTGGTATGTCTGCCTTCATATTCTTTTTAGCTAAACATTCATTGGTGGGTAGGGTTTCTCTACTGTGGTGTACTGAACTTATTTCGCACTTGCCAGAACTCTGGGAAGCCTGAGGCTCCTCCTTTATCATGATAGAGTCTTGCTCATCACCAGTACTTTCTTCATCAGATTCTTCTTTGCCACTGCTACTATCTCCTGTTGCATTTTTACAGTCTCCATACCCCACTTTCAAGGCCTCTGTGGGGCTACTCAGACAAAATCGGTCTTCAGAGTTTATAGAATGGGTCCTCCTAAAGCTCTCTGAACCCCGGCCATAGGTGGAAATGTTAAGTAAGTAGTGACCTGCCATTGCAGGCTTGGATGTCCTTCTGCCAGCAAAACCCAGCATGAATCTCTGACTTGTAGAGATGTCTTCTAACTGGAAACCTGAGTGAGTTAAGTTGAACTGGGAGGGCTGCACAAATGAGGGAACATTCTGCCTCCGAACCCTCTGGATGAGAGTTTGAAGGATCTGATCTTGGGTTGCTTCACTTAGTCCTTCCTGGTACTGGTGTGTGTCAATGCTAGGGTCCCTCAGATCCTTACCTGAAAACAGCTGAAGAGGTCTTGGAACCTGGGGGAGATGCTTACTTTGCAAGGCTTTACCGAGCTGCTGTACCACGGGAGGGGGCTGCCGCTCGTTAACTTCCTCTGTGATGCTGTTTCCTGTGACGTGGGTGCCTGAGAGTGTGCCTGCCCCCTTCTCCTCTTTTGTAGTCAGTGGAACAGTTTTCATTTCAACTTTGGTGAGAGGTTTAGGCAGAATTTGCTCCATGGGAACATCTTTGCCCTGGAGCAGTTGAGTCACCAAAGGATTATTAGCTGGGATACTAGAGCTTGGCCTTGAAATGGGTCCATTCATATTTGAAGAAGCTCCTGGAGGAGTTTTAAGGCTAGAAGCTGCTGGCAAAGTGCTTGAGAATGGAGCTGATCCAGTAGGTACTGTAGTTACACTGACTTGGGGTACAGACTGTTTTTCTAAAGTGGCTGTTGTTAATAAAGATGTTAAAGGGGAGGAAGTCATATCCACTGAAGCACTAGCACTTGTCTCTGCTGAGGCTGAAGGGTTTGGTGTATTTTTACCAGAACCTGCTTTGGGCTCAACTGTGCCATCAGCTACAAAATGAACGGGTGAGGCACCTGAGATTAGAGCAGCATCAGTTGGAGTAGAAGGTGCTTTCTCCTGCTTGCAATTATCGGGCCCTTGTATGTGGCTAAGAGAGGCCACTGTGGCTGTTGCCCTGTTGGGATTCAGTTTTTCACTATTCAATTTCCCTAAAGTTGGGGGTGCATTAGTGTGGGCTGGTGATGGGACATTTGTGCATGTTCCAGCGATGGCAGATGTTGGAGGCACTGAGGAGGTTTGCTGTAGTTGTGCTCCAGAAACACTAGGAGGCTGTGCCTGGCATGGGGTCTTGGTCTCAGATTTGGGCTGAGTCTCTGGACCACAGGGTAAAAGCTCTCTCGTACCTCCCCTGCCTCCAGTTCCTGCCAGTTCCAGTGTGGAGCCCTTTCCAGTTTCACGGACTCTGTCTGAGTCTGGACTCCCTCCTCTAGCAGTTTTTCCTTCACCACCGTCTCCTGGACCTTGTCCACCCCCGGGACCAGGTCCTGGAATGGTCCCTCCAACTGAGGCGGCTGCAGCGGCGGCAGCTGCAGCAGCCGCTGCTGCCCTCTGTGCTTTGACCAGCTGGGCTTTTGCTTTGATGTCTGCAAGGGTTCTGGCTCCTGTTCTGTTAGGACTAGTGATGGAGATTGGAAAACGAGCCCTGGGAGAGACCTGCGATGCAGGAAATGGCATGGGGGAGATTCTGGAGACCGGGATCTGAAAGAAGTAGGAGGGAAAACAGGAGTTAATGTTCATTTAAGACAATAACAAAATTTCATTAGCACTTAACGTTTTCAGAGTAGGGTGAACACTACAATACCTGTAACAGAAGCGGGAGGCCTATGGCCAAGAGACCCAACTGTGGAGACAGCAATGCAAGTGTATTTCTTGGGGCCTTCCATTTCCTCCTTTCACACAACTACACCCACCCCAAATCCCCATACCTCTTTTCTCAACCTAACTCTCTCCTAATGTCACTTCATCTCACAATTGCTTGTTATTTCAGATACGGATCTTTCCATGGTATCTGCATTTTAAAATGTGTATGAGAAAGAGAAAAACAGGAAAATGTAGAATACTGTTGCTGTCTTTTATTCTTAGCTTAACTACCAGGGCTCAGGCGGAAATTCTTGTTCTCTGCTGTCCTAAACATGGATATACAGTCAAGAATTTAGGATACATTATCTCAAATTACAGAGGCTTACAGGTAATGCTGGAAGATAGTACATGATCTACAGATACAGACACACCCCACTGCTCACCTACAAGAGTATATATATGTTTTTATTTACCACAGTCATTCTCTTCACCCACTGCACTATATCTACGTGCAAAGTTTTTGAAATGCATGTATCTGCTTGAGTCCTAAACTTTACATACTAGAACCCCCAGGGGAAAAATAACTTCTAAAACGTTTCTTGTAAAAACAATCAAGTTTGTGAGACTGTCATGAAGCATCAGGTTTGAAACCTCACTTTCATATCAAAATGTATCTGAAAGGAATCTGATTCCAGTACAAAATAACTGAGAATTATTGATGTTAATTAGAATGCATCAGGATCCAAACCCTTCTAGTAGGTACAGATAGAAATGATTATTACTGATGTTCTAGGGCATTTAATTAAAAAAAATAATAATAATTAGGGCCTCAGTGGTGGCTCAAGGGGTTAAGACGCGACCTATGAAGCTATCCGCAGCCACTGCAGCACAAGTTCAATCCCCAGCCAGGGAAATACCCACATGGTGCGGTATTTCTCTCCTGTCTCGCCCACTGCTCCCTTCAGCAGTGTATTTCAGTCAATCTGCCTGTTCTGTTCCCCACTCTGTCTCTGGTGAATCCTCTCAGCCTCCACACCTCTGGCCTGTACCCCAGTTCTTGTATGCATAAATAAATAAATCTTTAAAATAATAATAATTAAGCCACTAAAGCTCCAAGAAAATGCACACCATCTTTCTGGAACTCCTTAAGAATAATAAAGTCAGGGGCCTCCCTGGCGACGCAGCGGTTGAGCGCTGGGTTGCGAGGCTGCCCTCAGCCTCTGCAGTGCCAGTTCGATCCCCGGCCACCGGTGAGGGTCCCACAAAAAAAAAAAAAGAATAATAAAGTCAGGCCTCCCTGGTGGCACAAGGGGTTAAGCACCGCACTATGAAGCAATCTGCAGCCTCTGCAGCACTAGTTCAATCCCCGGCCGGCCAGGGAGCAACCCACATGGCGAAGCGGACCTCTCCTGATTCGCCTGTTGCTCCCCTCAGCACTATACTTCAGTAAATCTGCCTGTTCTGTTCCCTGCTATGTCTCTGGTGAATCCTTTCACCCCTGCATCTCTGGCCTGTACCCCAGCTCTTGTATGCATAAATGAATAATAAAGTCACTGAAGCATTTTCATTATTTGTGACACCCATTTTTCAAAAGGTCAGCAGTCCTGAAAAGTAAATTCTCTTTCATTCAGAAGTTAGATCTGGGATTTCCTAACAGTTATCATGGAAACCACATCACATATCAGTTGAATGTATTTGTATTTTATATCCATTACACACAGAATTTTAGAAGCTACACAGAATAAGAAAAAAAGAAACTGCTGTCTTCTGATAATATCATCTAGAAGAGAGTACTTGGGGAGAGATTGGGGGTGGAGAGAAGAAAGATAAACTAGAAAGTGAAACACAAAAAAGTAAAAGCACAGTTGTTTTTGGGTAATTGGTATATACAGGGGCCAAACAAACCAACATCAGAGTAAATAAGTAATAACAACCACAATAAATGACATCTATCACAATGGCTGAAAATCTTTAATAACATGTTGAAATTAAATAATTAATTTAAAGATATATAAAAGGTCTTAATACTTAAATTAAAAATGTTTCATTTATTTATGCAAACAACCCTAGCTCTTTATATGGAATGAGATGTCATACTCATATAACACAAAACCACTCAAGAGTTGTCTAAGCACTGATAACAATTTAACTCACTGAGCAGCACTAACCTAGTATTGTAAAGGAATTATTTTCTTTAAAAATATATACTGAGGGCCTCCCTGGTGGCGCAAGCGGTTAAGACGCAACCTATGAAGCTGTCCGCAGCCTCTACAGCACGAGTTCGATTCCCCAGCCGGCCAGGGAGCAACCCACATGGTGCAGCAGATCTCTCCTGACTCACCCGCTGCTCCCCTCAGCAGTGTACCTTGGTCAATCTGCCTGTTCTGTTTCCCACTCTGTCTCTAGGGAATCCTCTCACATCCCCACACTTCTGGCCTGTACCCCAGCTCTTGTATGCATAAATAAATAAAATCTTTAAAAAAAAATTATACTAAGTGGAAAAAACATAACATGTTGAGTTTTCTTTCACCTCTCTCTATGCAGACACACATATATGCTCACATATATTACAGACTACATAACACATGTACATAATTTTTATACATAATGTATAAATTTATAATAAAATTTAACTTTTGTCTAATTTTTTAAAAAAAAGGTTTTGTTCCATTCTAAATTACTTTAAGCCTTTTTTTTTTTTTTTTTTTTTTTTTTTAAGAAAATGGGATTGAGATAGGGTCTAAGGTAAAAGAGCTACTTAAAGCAATTTCTGGTACAAAGTTTTTTGGAGGGACAAGGAAGAAGAATAAAGTATAAGAAAAGGGAAAGAAATTGAATAATATTAACCTGGTTGGGCATCCCTGGTGGCCTAGCAGTTAAGTCTCAGCACTATCCCCACTAAGGCCTGAGTTCAATCCCCAGCCAGGGAGCTAACCCACATATGGCACAGCAGACCTCGCCCGTCTTTCCCCCTACTTCCCTTAGCAATGTATTTCAGTAAATCTGCCTGTTCTGCTCCCCACTCTATCTCTGGTGAATCCTCTCACTGCCCCCCCACCTCTGAGCTGTACCCCAGCTCTTGCATGCATAAATAAATAAATCTTTTTTAAAAAATTAAGATATTATTAGTACTAAGAAGCAAAATAAGAGAAGTCACATGAAGCAAGAAATGGGTCAATTTCTAATATCTGAATGTTACTAGGGATATTTCCTGATACAACTAACTTTGGTTCATCCAAGTTAAATATATAAGGGGGGAAGTAAATTTCTATTTTGCTTATTTTTCAATTATATCCTAATTACGAACAAATAATCTCCAGTGTCCATGCTCATAAGACACAACAGTATTACTACTAAAAAAAAAATTAATGTATATTAAATGAATATTCCACAGCACAAAAATTATTAAGCACAAGTCCAAGTATAAATAAACCTTTAGATTAGAAGAAAAAAAAAAACAAACATTTTGGAAGGATAAACTGCTGCCATTCGCAGCAATATGGATGGAGCCAGAAGGGATTTTGCTCAGTGAAATAAGCCAAAAAGAAAAATATTGGATGGTTTCACTTACAGGAGGAATGTAGAGGAACCAATAAAGGATCAGGGAAAAAAAGTAACTATAATAAAGTGAAAATCAAAATCAACAGGCAACTATAGATCAGAGACATTCTGTAGGGAGGAGGGAGAAGGATCAGGATGGGTGGGAAGAGCACAAGGGCAAGGGGATGGTGCATGGGAGAGGTGGTGGGAATTTCATGGGGAAATCAATCATTGTACAAATATGAAGAATGATGTAATAAATATATAAAAAATAATTAAAAAACATGTTTTGGTTTTAAAGGTTCTCTGCTGATTAGATGCACTCTTTAATACTAAGATAAAGACACTGCTATAGGAATTTCAAAGATTTGATACGTAGCAAATATAAAGCTAAAATGGAAATTAATGACATATCCTAAGCAGTAGAGCTTAGCAAGGATAATTAATTTTATTAGAGACCTTCAAGTAACCAGTAGTGAATCAGGATAGCCACACACATTTCCTTTAGAAGGATGGATCTAGTTCCAGACTCACAGAACATCAAATCAGTTAAGGCACTAAGGAAAGGGCCATGGTACACTTATGCATCATGGCTCTTGGTACAAAGGTATGATCTCTGGAACCAATAGTTTCTTCAAGCTTATTGTCATATTCTTATTTTGTCACATAAGAGAATCATTTTTCCATAACTGTCTCAAGATATAGGTTAGCAGGCCAGGGGGTGACAGAGGTGCTTTACATTATATATCCAAGTACCTTATGTATTCAAAACCAGTAAGATATATAAGGAATATAGTTCTGAATGCCTGTGTATTGGTAATTTTATTCAAGATCACAGTTATAAGCATACCAAACATAAAACCGCTTCTGCATTAAGGAACATAAATTACAACTGAAATTTAATAGATATGACCAAAAACTTAGTGTGGAGACCAACTCTCTTTTTCAGTTCTTCCCACTTTCTTACCTTGAGGGGTGGTACTTTTCGCACCTGGACTCTGTCCCCTCTGTTGAGAAAGGGCTGTGGTGAGACTTGAAATGGCTGCTGGTGCTGGCGATTCTCAGTGACACGTGGTCTCTTCTCCCAGCTCGGAGGGACCTCCTCTTGGGTGAGAGATTTTCTCTTGAGGCTTTCTGGGCTGTGATCAACCAGAAGTGATGGAGGCTCTTTCACGGTAGTCTCCTGCTGACCTGTTCCTAATGTGGGCTGGATTGGTTTTTCCACACTAGGGCTCTTGGGTTTGATGGGGGATGTAACTGAAGCAGCTTCTTGGTTTTCATTTTTATTAAAATTAGAAGCTTTAGTGAGATGATTCTCTTTCTCAGACTCCTGTTCAGCAGAAACAGCTGGCTTCTGCTCCAAGAGATCCTCTCCCTTTGGGCACTTGATGGGAAGAAGCTCATCCGTACCGCCAGCTGCAGAAAGCAGAGGCTCCGTGGATTTGGAGAAGTTTGGCTGCACCTTATCCTGGCTTTCGTGCTCTTCTTTTCTGATTGGTGACACCATTTGTACTACTTCATCTTTAGACTCTAACTGGGGAATGACTGGGTCTATATTGACAGGTGAGGCCTCTAAAAGCACAGATTTTGGTGGCTCAGCTGGGCTTTTCTTTACTTTGGGATCACTGGGTGAAGCCGTCAACTTCTTTGAATCCTCAAGGCTCAAGCCAGAACTAAAAAAGTAGAAGAGAGAAATAATCTAGTTGAAAAATAATCTAAGTGAAATAATCTAGTAGAAATAATCTAGTTGGCCCCTGTTGTGGAAGGCATTATGAGCGAGTACTCATGTTACTAGCGTTGCTACCACACAGTTTCCTCAGTTGAGCACTGGGGTTAATTAATAGTGTTGCTATGATGATTAGCTATAGTAATATACATAAAGTCCTTAGAATAGCACCTAGCACATTAGTAAAGCTCAAAAAAGTTAATTTTTATTACTTGCTAAAGAGGCTACTTGCTAGAGGCACGCACCACAACCACCCACAAGGAAAGTAAAAGAAGGCTAGACCCAGGCATCCTGGGACTATGGGTCTGAACTACAATCAACTCTGCTCTGCAATACCTGTAGAAAGACTAGCCCAACAAATCTAAGAAAGCCTGAGAAGGTAGTAGGAGAGGTGGCTGTCAATGTTCCTCATAGGCTGAGAATTGTAACTGAGCTTTTAGAAAAAAAATGTTAAAATTCTGAGCTCAGATGCCTCTGGAGCTAGCCTGGGAGTATAGGCCAACTGGGTCTTCCATAGAGTGGCCGGCTAACAGCTAGGCTACTCTGTACACTCACTGGACAGCCTTCTTTGCTGACTTCAATTAGAACTGCATCTCTGAGTTGTAAAAACTAAGGAAAAAAACCGGACAGTAATCAAAAATAGTCCTTCTAAAAATGCTGGCAGAAAGTACTAACTGAAAGCAGAGCCAAGAAAAGCTGTAATGGGGCCTCCCTGGTGGTGCAGGGGTTAAGGCTCAGCGCTATCTAGCTAACACCAGCACTGTGGCATGAGTTGAATCCCCAGCCAGGGAACTAACTCTCATGGTGCAGCAGACCTCTCCTGTCTCACCCACTGGTCTCCTCAGCAGTGTATTTCAGTAGATTCACCCATTCTGCTCCCCACTCTGTCGCTGGTGAGTTCTCTCACCCCACACACCTCTGGCCTACACCCCAGTTCTTGTATGCATAAATAAATAAAATATTTTTAAAAAATCATTAAGCTGCAGAGAATAAAACAACACTCAAACAAGTCTTAAAAAAAGCTGTAATGGGGCCTCCCCTGGTGGCGCAGGCGGTTGAGCACAGTACTGTGAAGCTGTCTGCAGCCTCTGCAGTGTGAGTTTGATTCCAGCTGGCTGGAGAGAATCCCACATGGCGCGGCAGACCTCTCCTGTCTCGACCGCTGCTCCCCTCAGCACTGTATTTCAGTCAATCTGCCTGTTCTGTTCCCCGCTCTGTCTCTGGGGAATCCCCTCACCCTCCCACACATCTGGCCTGTACCCTGGTTCTTGTATGCGTGAATAAATAAATCTTTAAAAAAAAAAAAACTGTAATGGTCTCTCTACCTAGTAAAAAGGGGACGAACAAATTTTTATGGAATCATAAATACCTATAATATAGTCTCAATGCAGACATCATTTCCATAAAAGAACTCAAACCTCATTATTTCCATATTCATTGAATGTAGAAAAATCAATGAATGAGGCTCAATCTCAACAGGACCCACTTCTGAAATGACCACAAAGGGGATCAATGAACAATATTTGGAGACAGGGAAATAAGCCCAGAGTTCTCAAGTTGCAGTTACAGAGTCAATCTCTGTAAGGGCTCTAATTAGGTATGTACAAGGAATACAAACAAGTAAGACTCTGGCTGTTCAAGTGATACAGCTCCACTGCCATCTATTTAAATTAACCCATGAAGATTTCATTTGGACCTTTTTGTTAGAAAAAAAAAATTATTTAGATTATTATCTGTTGAGAATAGGGTTTGTATCTTGATTAGTTATGTACATCTCCCATTCGGCTTCTAAGACAAGAGGTTAAATCATTTTGGGCATAATATTACATATTATAGGATTCTTAGGATTCCTTAGTGATTCTGGGGAGTTATCATATTGTAGGATAATTAACTACTATAAAAAATGTTAAAAACTTCAATATTCTTATTCTCTTACAAAGTTACTAGAAAAGCCAATTTATTCAAAGAAAGGGAATCTAATTCAAGATAATAAAATACTTTTGTTTTTAATTAAATGCAAAGTTGTGATCTGCTTTTTATTAAAAATGTAAAAATATTCTTTAACATTTACAACACTATAAATCATAAAGACACAGGATCACATCCTTCAGATGTATGTTACACATCATACCCACCAGCAAGACAACCACAGTCCACTGTATTCCCTCCCTCCCCCACAAAGAAACCCTCCTGCCACCTACAATGGCAGTGAGTGAACTGGATTACAAGTAATCCAATTCTATGAACCTGAGACTCATAAATAGAAAAAAAAACTTCTTGAAAAAGAATTGGTTACAAAAAAAAGTAAATAAAAAACTAGATTTTCTAGAAAGGTGATGAGACAAAGCACCATATGACATAGACAAAAAAATTAACATTTGGTTTTGCAAACTGGATTGACATTACCTCTGGCCATAGTAGCTTTCAAAGAATTGTTCTTTCCATGGCTCCACTTTCTTCTCCTTTTCAATCTCTTGTCGAATTCTCACCTGCATCTCAGGTGTAAACTCACCTGTAAAGTCCACCCCCCCGAAATATTTAATAGAAAAATAGTGCTTGAAAGTTTTACCTATTTTTAAATCACGAAAGACTCAGATGGAAGAAAGAACATTATCATGTGAAAGTAACACAAATTCCCAAAATTCCTCACTGTAGGGGAGTACCTAAGCGCCATGAGGTGAAATAAGAATATTTGCACACTACTCTACTTAATTTTCAGTCTTCAGCTGAGATCAACCATTTCTTTGGATTTTCCTTGTGCACCATCCTCCTGCTCACAAACATATTCCCCACAGATTTCTTTCACCACTATCCTTGAATTTGTGAATTTCTTTCCACTAGAAAAACAGGTACATGCTTTCACTGAATAATGTCACTTGACATTTTATTATTTTAAACTTGTTTGTCTTTGGCAACTTGTATTTTAGGTCTTTTATCTCTATATACATAATAAACATCTGTGGCCCTGCTTAAGGGGATATGGAATTCCAGGAAAAAAGTAGAAAGTTTTTCTGGAGTTGTCAGTTTTCTAATTGTTCAAAAATTTTACCATTTCTAGAGTGTCAAAAAAAAGATACCTGACATGCCAATGACACAGCTGCTATGAATATGTCATTTATTTGCAAATACAGGTTTCCCCTGCTATTCCAAAGTAGTGTTTATATTTGGTAAGAATGGTTAGGTTATTTTTTGGGTCTGAGACCACTATTGCAACTAATTTAATATAGAAAAAAAATGAAGCTTTCCCAGAACCTCTCCCAAAAAAACCTACCAAATCACACCAAACAGGAATGTTCTGCATTCAGATAGCATGGGAAACCTGTACCACCAACACCTCAATCCTTCCCCTCGATGAGCAAAGAACTTGAATGTACTGGATAGGCCATCTTCAAACTTATGGCTCAGAAAAGCAGCTCCCTTTTATACTCTAATACCCATGACATCAGGGAATAAGAGGTAGAAAAGGCAGAATCTGAAGTTTAAGTCTTCCTGGAGGTAAGAAGAGATAAAAGGAAAGTGTTAGGGGACAGTGAACATCACAGTCCTGGACACAAGGAAAAGAAGGATCTGGTTGTCAGAATCTAACCCAGAACTTCTGCTCTTCTGTTGAATTTATTGTGTGACCACACAAAGAAGGAAAAAAGTATTGAACTCTGTTCACCTGAGTACAGTGCTCAAAGATTCTGCTGCCCATAAAAGATGATCAAATAGCTGTAAACAACAGCAGCAATGGCTCACATGCACAAAAGAAATATCACTGATAATAATCAGGATGTTACTGTTACTAGTACCTACTTGCCAAAAATGTGCAGGTTAGGGGCATAAATCCCTTACAAAATTATTATTATTTTTTAAAGAATTATTTATTTATTTATACAAGCACTGGGTACAGTCAGAAGCACGGAAGGGTGAGAGAATTCACCAGAGCCAGAGCCGGGAGCAGAGCAGGCAGAAGGACCGAAGTACACTGCTGAGGGGAGCAGCGGGCGGCAGGAGAGGTCTGCGCACCATGTGGGACCCTCCTCTGGTGGCCGGGGAGCAGCCGGGAATGAACCAGCTTTGCAAAGGCTGCGGGCAGCTTCGCAACCCAGAGCTCAACCGCTGCGCCACCAGGGAGGCCCCACAAAATTATTTTTTTATTCTAAATTACTTTTAAAGAAGTCAACAATTTCAATGAACAATGGAGGTATAAAATAGCTAGTCAATTAACTCTCATTGTCTGAGATCTAACAGCATTCTTAACTCCCTTCTTATACATTAAAGCTTCTTATACTTCTTTAAGCTATTTCTTGGCATAAGTTCAAATGACTTTTCAAGTATTTTTTGTATTTACATACTGAAAGACACATGCAACAATTGAAATAAAAGTAATACAGCCAGTGGTTTTAATTATGGCTACATATTAGAGTAACTTGGAAGAACTTAATTATCATGAACAATGTGGGTTAAGAATTGCAAACGGTGTCTAATGCAATATCCTACGTTGGTGCAATCAATCACTTTTTTACACTTTATCATTTATACATAGTAAATATGTTAGATCAGAATCACATGAGGCATACATGGTAAACCAGTAGCCAGAGTCAGGAATTCCTGGTCATATCTATATTTATTAAAATGCTTTGCCTGCCACTAGACTATACACCTCAAGTGGGTAGATTTTATATGTGAATCCTTTTTCAATAAAGCGGTTTTTAAAAAAAGTTCTTAGTGATTCTTTCTACTTTATCATTGAGGTTGGGCAGTAACAAAGAGATTATCTCAATACTTACCAAATCATGTTTCATAGCAGCACAAAATAACTATTAATTCTATACTCTGCTCATTATGGGACTTATTAAAATTTCAATTCCTAGGCATTAACCTGGAATTACTCAGGTGACTTTAAACCCTTAACAAAATATATTCTGGATTCCATGTGGAGCCAAACCTTGTTACACAAGACCAAATAAAGACTAAGCATATGCAATATGCCATCACTGTGAGTCCTGGGAAACACGTTAGGTGGAAGACTTACCTTCTGACAGTCTTTCTTTCCAGCCTTGGGCTGCCGAAGTGAAGAACTCATTGTTAAGGGCTGAGCCATTTAACTTCATCAGACCATCTGGACCAACCTGAGTCAAAGAAAAAGCCAAGGGAAGCTTACAAAGAAAGTTAAATGTATCACTTGGAAATTGAGTTGACCTTCATTTTAGAAAAGAATTTGTGTACTTTTAATTTTATAGAAACATAACAATGTATCTTACTGCTTATTATGAAACTGCTATTTGACAGTGTAGTATATCATTTCTTCTAGAAAAACCCTTTCCAATTTATTTTCTCCCGTTTCTTCAAATTCCCTTCCCGACTGATTAATTACACTCTAAGAATCAATAACAGTAGCTACTTATTATTTCACTGCATGACTGTATATCAACTCACCATTTCCTAATCATACACATGTACCTGGTTCCAATGTTTCCCACAATCAATAAAGCTGCAGTACTGCCAGGTACTATTACTTCTATGGGAAAGGTTATGAAGCAAATAAATATTTGTAATAGACAATGTTAGATTATTTTCTAAAAAGACTAAAGCAATTCATTTCTACTAGAAATCTATAAACAACTTTCTCCTGAAAACAACAGATTTTTGCTGATTTAATGGCCTTGAAATGATAAAAACACAAAAAAGTGGAAGAGGAAGAGCACCTATAAATACACAGCGTGTATTTATTAAGACTATATAACAACATAGCATTTCAAACTATGAGAAAAAGGAGCGCTTACATACACATATATACATACATGCATATAAATGTAGCGCTGGAACAACTGGTTATCCAGTAGAAAATAAAGCTGAACCCCATTTTCAGAGTAATACAGGTAATTTCTAGATGGATTAAAATGTTAAGTTTTAGGTCAAAAAACAATTTTTTGAAGAAAAACTGAGTAACCTATCTGGATCAACATTATTTTCCACTGGCCCTGGAGTAGAAATTAGCACACTTTTTCTGTTAAGGGATAGAATGGAAGTATTTTAGACTTTGTAGCCTCACCCCTCTGTTGCAATTATTCCACTCTGCCATTGTAGCACAGTAACAGTTCTAGACATACGTAAATGACTAAGAGTGACTATATGCCAATAAACTTTATGAATACACACGGGGCAGTGGTGGGGGGTGGGGGAATTAGCCCCAAGGCTATAGTTTGCCCACTGCTTGCTGAGTCATATTCGAGACAGCTGGTAGAGGGGTAACAGGTTGCCTAAGATAACAGGTCATCCAACCTCTGTTTGAATAATCCAGTAATGAGCAAGTTACTCCATCACAAGTCAATCCATTCCACAGTTTAACAGCACCAACTGTTAAAAAAAAAACTTATTTTAAACCCAAATCTGCTTTCTGGAGAAAGATGCTTACCTCTTTCATGACACACCTTCAAATACATCTGAAGAGTGGTGTTTTCATCCACTCACCTCCCTTATTCTTTTCCTTGGCCTAAATAACATTTTTCTACTGTTTACTGATATGTAGTCCATATGTTAAAATATGGTTTCTAATGTTTCATCCTAGTGAAAACCAGAATTCTTTATAAATACTTTAAATGTCATCTGATAGAGAAGTTGTCTATCACTTAATTTGAACTTTATACTCTCTATATATAAGGACTATACTTGTCAGAATACTGTGTGCTCCCACCAAAATAACTGAAAAAGTCAGGTCAATTCCAATTAAGAATATCCCACAGACAAGACTCCATGGGAGGGTGAATAGACAACCTCTAAATCCTTTGAAATCTAAACTTCTATGCTATGTAGGCATCTTCCTTATAAGAGAGGATAAGAGATATTATTCAAAAGACAGTTTTGAGGAACTTAAAATAGAGTTCTAAGTCAAGCCATCAGTTAGGTACTGTCTTGTTGTTCCCTACCTGAGAACTCCAGTCTAAAAAAGATGAGCGGAATCTCTAATGAGAATCTCTAATTCTCTAAAAACTGCTAAAAATTTAGACTCCTAACTTGTTCTAAGAACTGGGCACCAAAGCTATAACTTCTCCAAGAAGTATTATGATAGGGAAAGGAGTAGTTGGGAAAGATCAGTTCCACTTCTCTGCCCCTGCTGCTTAGAGGATACCTGATTTACTTGGACTCTCTGGAAATCTAACCTGCTTTCATATGTGTGAATTCACAGCACTATGAAACTGCTATCAGTATCATCTATCAAAAATATTACTTTCAGGACCTCCCCGGTGGTGCAGCAGTTGAGCGCTGGGTTGCGAAGCTGCCCGCAGTCTCCTCAGTGCCGGTTCAATCCCCGGCTGTCGGGTGAGGGTCCCACATGCGCACAGACCTCTCCTGCCACCCGCTGCTCCCCTCAGCAGTGTATTTAGTCAGTCTGCCTGTTCTGTTCCCCGCTCTGGCTCTGGTGAATTCTCACCCTCCTGCACTTCTGACTGTACCCAGTGCTTGTATAAATAAATAAATAAATAAATATTTAAAAAACAGAAAATTACTTTCAGAATTAAAATTATTTAGCTTGCCTTTATATTCACTTAGCTATGGTAATTGGACCATTTGCTTACTCCCTATTAATCTCTTACGATAAACTGGAGAAATTATCTCATTTTCTTATTGTAAACGAGAGAAAACACCTCTTTCTCATCTTGTTTTTAATAATGATTGGAAGTCGGGGGAGGGGGAAGCTATCAGATTACTGAGAATATAGCAGGTATTTGAAAACAATAGTAAAAACATCTCAGAGCTCAATAAACCTTAGAAAATATTAATGGTCCTAGCTTCCTCTTGCAGAGGTGGACCCAAATGTCAGAAGCGGAATGATATGACTTACTAGTTATTCTTTCCTCGATGAAAGTCTATGCCTCAGATCTTTTACCTTATTCCTGGATTAAACTCTTTCTGGTCCACAGAGAGTCTCTTCCCAAATCTTTGGTATTTCTTCTAGCTATTTTTTTTATTCCTTTAAAGAGTATAACTTATGTTAGGTTTTTAAGTTCTCTACTGTGCAAATGATAAATGTTTTACAAAAATTTTACAATAGAATGAATATTGTTACTCCCTGCAAAAAAAAAAAAAAAAACCAAAAAAACTTTAATGTCCTAGGCAACTCTTCCTCTTGAACTATATTCTATGGATGCCCACATCCTATAATATGATAGTGAGATAAATTTTTTTCTATAATCTTGATATTCTTTTTTTTTTTAAAGATTTATTTATTTATGCATACAAGAGCTAGGGTACAAGCCAGAGATGAGGGGGGTGAGAGGATTCACCAGAGACAGAGTGGGGAACAGAACAGGCAGAATGACCGAAGTATACTGCTGAGGGGAGCAGCGGGCGAGTCAGGAGAGGTCTGCTGCGCCATGTGGGTTGCTCCCTGGCTGGCGGGGATCGAACTTGTGCTGCAGAGGCTGTGAATTGCTTCACAGTGTGGTGCTTAATCCCTTGCACCAAAAGGGAGGCCCTATAATCTTGATATTCTGATAAAAGGTTTTTTCCCCTTTATAAGTCATACAAGGCAACCAATTAATTAAGAACACTTACATTAAAATATTCTTAATTTTTTTGGGCCTCCCTGGTGGCGCAGCGGTTGAGCACTGGGTTGCGAAGCTGCCCGCAGCCTCTGCAGCGCCGGTTCGATCCCCGGCCACTGGCGAGGGTCCCACGTGGCGCGCAGACCTCTCCTGCCTCGCCCGCTGCTCCCCTCAGCAGTGTACTTCGTCGGTCTGCCTGTTCTGTTCCCCGCTCTGGCTCTGGTGAATCCTCTCACCCTCCCGCGCTTCTGACTGTACCCAATGCTTGTATAAATAAATAAATAAATCTTTAAAAAAAAAAAAAAAAACAGTAAAAAATTAAAAAAAAAAAATTCTTAATTTTTGATACCACTTCTTTGGAGAAACTTAGTACATCCTAAAGAGGATGAGGGAAGGAAGCCCGAGCAGGGTTATATAACTGCTTAGCTTGAAATAACTCACCTGTCGATCCACCTCTGGAAGCAGCAAAAGCAGTCGCTGTTGGCAATCTCCAGGAAGGACTGAAAAGGTATGTTTGTTGATCAGGGCTCGTAGATTTGTATTAACCAGAATGGAGTCCGGTGTCTCGACATCAATTTCAGCACACTTAGTCCTTTTCATTTGCCCTACAAAAACATGGAAATGAATCACTTGGGCCTCATTCACATGCCTGTTTTTACATATACTAGCTTGCTATCCAATGCAAAAACCACAGTTGAAGTACTTTAAGTATTACACTCTGAAGAAGGTAACAAGGTCCTTAGAAATTTCTTCTAAGACTAACTAACAAAGCAAGTTTTGCTCATTCATAAAGAATAAAAGAACATAATTTATCTTCTCTACAAAAAAAGGAACAAGGCCTGTGAAAGTAAACCTTTTGCCATAGGAAAAGTACATTTTATACTTGAGATTTATTTCCCAAGTGGAAATGAGGACGTTTACAATAAAGGACACATATACATCAGAATGACTAAAATCTACAAATCATTCCTGTGCCCCTTTTTTCCTTCTCATGAGAATTTTTTTAATCAATTTTAATTTGCATTACCCTAAAATGTTACGATTGAACAGCACTGCCAATTCAGGAAATCTGTTCACAATCAAAAGGTTAGAGTGTTTCAAAAGACTGACAGATTTACATAAAGAAAGATTTAAAGTAAGTGTCAAAAAAATATTTTGTTCATAAGACTAATTTGCAAGCCATGAGAAAAGGTTATTGCTCTTCATATTAAAAGTGCATTAATTTATAAATCAGTAAGAAAAAGACAAATATCACCAAGAGAAAAATGAGCAAAGGAAATTAACAATAGTTACACTAACCATAAACACATACCATGGTATTAACATTTAAAGAAATACCAGCTAAACCAATAACATTTTGTCTATCAAAATAATAATGCAGTACTGCATGTGTAGTGAAACAGCAAAAAGTATTTTCAAATCCTGCTCATGGGGCAGAATACCAGATAAATCTTGCTAGAAGAAAACATACAACAAATTTTTTTTAAATATTTATTGTTATTTATGCATACAAGAACTCTGGTATAGGCCAGAGGTGCGAGGGGTGAGAGGATTCACCAGAGACAGAGTAGGGAGCAGAACAGGCGGATCTATTGAAATACACTGCTGAGGAAAGCAGTGGGCAAAACAAAAGTCTGCTGCAACATGTGGGTTAGCTTCTTGGTCAGGGATCCAACTTATTCCATAGTAGCTGGTGACAGCTTGATAGCACTGGGAGTTTAACCCCTGCACCACCAGTGAGGCGAGAGCCCCATACAACAAAATTTTAATATACATAGAAATCTAGAAACCCAGAAATTCTATATTTGGAAACGCCCACACAAAGCTAGATGTCAGAACTCTGCTCCTGGCCAAAGCACAAGCAGGAGTAATCTCTTTTATAAGAAATAGACTTCCCAGAGTTATGGTCACAGGATTCCTGCCAATTAAAATCTAGTACTATCTTATAATGATTATCCTAACAAATCAGAAGGTATAGCACTATGACAGAGTTAGCGGAAATCACAAATAAAAAGATTTAGATCTACAAGTACTATTACTGAAAACGTCACATACATAGAATACAAAATAGGTGTATATAAAATCATTAGAGGGGGGAAAAAAGTTAGAAAAGATGAGGATCAAATAATCAGAAATTAACATAAAGATTTGAAAAACATAAATGGGACTGCCACAAATATATAATAAAAAGTGCAGAAATCAGTTACCATAGATGAATAACCAGAATACAGACTTTCAATTCTATGGAATTTTCTTAAATTACTTCTCCTATCATTTACTTCCCTTTATAATTTTTTTAAAGATTTATTTATTTATGCATACAAGAAGGGGGGTGAGGGAGGGATGAGAGGATTCACCAGAGACAGAGTGGGGAGCAGAGCAGGCAGATCTACTGAAATACACTGCTGAGGGGAGCAGTGGGCAAGGCAGGAGAGCTCTGCTGCACCATGTGGGTCAGCTCCCTGGCCAGGGATGGAAGCTGCTGACAGCTTCATGTTGCTGCAACATAATCCCTTGAGCCACCAGGGAGGCCCTCTTCTGATAATCCAATTATTTAAGACACTGGACAGCCTAGACGTCCATTGCAATTTTCTTACCTTTTCTCTCCTTTTGAATGTCTCCTCTGTTTTCTGGGAAATATCTTCTTATTTCTACCATTATATTTTATTTCTGCTATCATTTAATTTAATATTCAGAAACTCTGTTTTCTGGTTTTGAAAGCTGTATTCTGTTTGTTTGTTTTTTCATGGATATAATACCAGCTTTGTATTTCTTTCTGTGGGTACTTTACTTCTAAAAGTTGTGTTAAAGTTTCTCCTTCCTGAATTGTCTGTTTCTTCCGAGTCTTTATTTCAGATTCTCTCTCCTGATAGAAGTTTCTTCAAAGGTAGTCCCTAGTAATAAGTAAAAGAGAGGCACTAAAAAATTCTGGGTGTGTGGGTGGGTCTAGGAGATTGGTGAGCTCTACAAAAGTATGATCAAGATGACCTCTGTTTAGTTGAGTATCTGTAAATGTGCAGGATTTTTTTTGAGGCTATTCAATTTCTGGAGGTACAAGTCCACCAACATCCTGCTAGAACATGGCAGGGGGAGAGGAAGGAAGTAGTGATAGCAGAAATACACTCACCAATAGTATTCTGGAAGCCAAGGAGGAGGATCCATAATTAAGTATTTGTACTTTACTTCCCTAATTTCAGAACACTGTGCCTTATTATCTGCCCTCAGTTATCTGTGATATCACTGAATTTGGAATCTCTATGTATTATAATTTAACCATAGAATAATATTCCTGACTTCCTATTAAGGTGAGCCTTCAAACTGTTTATTAGTTTTCAAAGGTTCTTCTTTTCAACCTCATACTTCATCCTTCTGTGCTATGCTGCAGGATATCTCCAATTCGTGAGGCTTTCTATGTCTGCTCCTCGGCTCCATGAAAAACTATCAAAAATATGTTGACACTGTCTGCCCATCTGTTCTTGTTTCTTCACCCATTTGGATTTAATTGTTTATATTTTCATATTCTCATTTTAGTGGAATTTCAGAGAGAGCACGAAGAAAGTTTTTAGTTTGCCAAGTTTAATTACAAGCCAAGCCCTTCTAATTTTCTGTACACAGAAATAAAAGGAAATGCTGGACAAAGCAAATTATTGTTAGAAAGAGAAATCACAAAATGGCTGATAACAAAACTTACTCTGATACAAAGTTTGATAAGGGCAGGACAGGAAGAACAAGAAGATTGTCAAAAACTCACAGGTGAATGGAAGGTAGTAAATGAGGGGGGACAGACATGTCATTTCTGTCTCTTATTTCTTACATATAATTCTCTCTCTTAGACACACACACACACACACACACACACACCACGAAATTACATATAATCGTTGCTATGTAACTCAAGCAATGCTCTAAACCTAAGCTAAGCAGTTGATAAATTTCAAACATAAAGTTGACAAATTAATGTTAAGAACTGAAATCTTTGTAAATTAACTCACGTGTATGGAGTCTGTCAGACCTCTGGAACGACTTCTTTCCCAAGCCTAGCAAAGGACTTTCCACTTTAACTGAAGAAGAAAAGCTAGAGTTTGAATTATGAGGGCTGCTGGACTGTCCATCGGATTGCTTTCCTTCCCATACCACTAGGGGGAAGAACACATAAAGCGTGACACTGAGGTTATGGATGGAAATCAATCAAATCATCCAATGCTAATTAAAAGGAGTTACGTATGAGGCAATACCCTGAACATGTTGTTTTGAGTCTGAGAATTAAGAGTCAACAAGTAAAGTGAAGTCCCTTCCATTTTCCCAGCACATTATTTGCTACTGGTGGTAAATTTTCTCGCTTCCTAACAAAAATGCAAAGTTGGAAAAAATGGAAAACTACAGTTTAAATCTGACAGGCCCATCTAATTAGTCACCATCAAACTGAATTCTGAAGTAAAATATATAAAGTCTATATCTAAACCAGTTTAGATTTAAAACAAAACAAGCAACAACAAATAAATCCAAAGACCTGTGGATATGGCCAATGTAAACTCAAAGGTAGCATGTATTCTTAGGGATAACTTATTTTCATAAAGGAAAGAAATGGTGAAGAGTTCTGTTAAAGTGCCTTGGAAATCTCAGCTTCGTAAGTTACCAATTAGCAGCTTACAAATATTATTGGCTAAGCAGTTGATCTCATTCTAACATGCAGATTTGGCTGATATTTTTTAATAAAGACATGATTACTTAGTGTAAGATTTCCCACTTATCCTGGAAATATTTACATTGATGGTTTGGTGGGAGAGAAATTACGTTAATATAGTAATATAAAAATTAATGGTATAGTATACAAATTTGGAAAGGCAACACAAAAACACCAGGAAAAAGAAACTTCCACAGATAAGACACCAATCTACCTACCAGGTTTGGCAGATACAGAGTCACTGGCTGCTTTGACAGTCTTGAGCGAGAGATGTTGGTTGGAAGAAATGGACATGCTTGGCCTACACTGCTGCTGCTGCTGTTGCTGCTTCTTCTGCTGTTGCTGCTTTAGAGCCTGTAAAGTGAAAACTGACTATAAGAAACAATCAGTTTTCAGAAATAACAAAAAGTAAAAGCAACTTCTTTTTAAATGGTTAAAAAAAAGTCACCACAAATTTCTTGAAATCTATCAAAGTAAACAAAAATCTAATTTATTTTAAATACAAGGCCTAAGTGATCCTTAAGAGTGCTAGGTTTTGCCAGTATTACTCCTTTAGACAAATAAGAAATAGTTATTAGTATTTTCTTAAACTTCAAAATTGCCAGAAAGCCAAGAACTTCTCATTTTTGTTGTAGCAAAGAATTAGATGTTTTCAGTCATTTCTGAAAACAGAATCCTAAGTCCTTCAACAAGAATAGTTCCATTTGCTTCAACTTTATCTAGAAGTGAAACTAGCTTATGTATGGAATTTAGTGGTGCTAGATTTGAACAAAAATTTCGAAGTAACTACTTGAGTCTGATCTTGTATAAGAGCAGTAAAATTTGGTCTAACGACCAACTCTCAGGAATTTACAGCAAAGTAGCAATCAAAAGGAAGGCAGATTAGAAAACACAAGTTCTAATAATAGTGTGGTTCCTTCTAGTTACTTCAGAATATTTTTATATCTATTAAATTTATAGAATACACTACCCAATACTATTTAGAATGAACAGAAAGACCAATAAATTTCTGGATGTTTAGCACGAAGTCATATAAAAGAAACGTTTTCACTCAATGTTAAAAAATTAACCTAAAAGGACCTCCCCTGGTAGTGCAGCGGTTGAGTGCTGGGTTACAAGGCTGCGGCGCCAGTTCGATTCCCTGCCACCGGCGAGGGTCCCACAAAAAAAAAAAAAAAAAAAAAAAAAATTAACCTAAGGAAGTAAAGCTACATTTAGGGAAAATATTGAAAATCTATAATCTTGGCAAATTGCCAGTTCTGTGTTTTAACCTTCAAAACCATCATACAGAAAGTATGGAGTAACTAATTATTTCCCATTCCCTCTTCACAATATAGTTTCCCTGTGTTTAACATTCCCACGTGTCTCTGGCTATACTTTTTTTTTTTTTTTTTTAAAGATTTATTTATTTATTTATTTATATAAGCACTGGGTACAGTCAGAAGCGTGGGACGGTGAGAAATTCAACAGAGCTAGAGCGGGAAGCAGAGCAGGCAGAGTAATGAAGTTCACAGCCGAGGGGAGCAGCGGGCGGCAGGAGAGGTCTGCGCTCCAAGTGGGATCCTCCTCCGGTGGCCGGGGATCGAACCGGTGCTGCAGAGGCTGCGGGCAGCTTCGAAACCCAGCACTCAACCACTGCACCACCAGGGAAGCCCTGGCTATACAATTATATATGCACAGAGGCAACAACTGTGCCTTAATCTAAGCTATTAATGGCTAGTAATAACAGAGTCAGTTATCTGGCTTACACTTGCCTACATTTATGGTAACTGAAGGAGAAACACAATGTGTATGAAAAAAAAAATGTTGTTTCATCATTGCTTATATCTTATCTCTCATTCTTCAAAATCAGTCCAGAAAATATTCACAGACTTCCTGAATAGCAGTCACTAGTATTCATTCCTTGCTACTAACAGTATCCAGGTAATTCTAGGTTAATGTAAAATTTAATAAACATTTAATCCCATTTGCTCCTACTGTTACATAAATTAAGGAATGTCAGGAACAGAATAATTTATAACTTCTTTATTCAAGAACAGTACTCAGTTTTTTCCTTCCTCAGTATCTTACAAACTGCTCCTACTTCCATTTTAAAATTAAAAATCAAAGTGAAAAATCTTATTTGTGGTAAAAAACAAATTACACTAAAGCAATTTTTCTCACCTAATGTTATGAAAAGCATACACTGCAGGCAAGGCCTTACTTTACATACCAACAATACAAATTATAAAATTTCCCATACTTATATCCCAAAAGAAAGTACATTTTATTCCTGGGATCATACAGGAGCATAAAGTTTATGAATTAGCTAAGTAGGTTTATGAAAATACGTTCTTTTTTCCCCTCTGTAGAAAACAGTATCTTGTACTTCTTAAAATTTTCTAACAGCAACATGGATGGAACTGGAAGGGATCATGCTCAGCAAAATAAGCCAGAAAGAAAAAGAAAAATACCGGATGGTCTCACTCATAGCAGGAATTTAGAAAACTTAAATAAGGTACCAGGAAAAAAACTAATTACAATAAAGTAAAACTCAAAATCAACAAGCAACTAACTATAAACCAGAGACATAATACAGGGCCGGGGGGAAGGAGTAGGATGAAAACAAGGGGGGTGGGAATTGTATGGGGACTATAACCATGACAAAAATGCATACATTGTGCAAATATGAAAAATGATGTAAAATATATATAAAATAAAAATAAATAAATCCAAATGTTAAAAAAAAAATTTTTCTAACAAACATCAATACAGATGCCAAAGCATATCCAGGCAGGCAGGTAGTTATTACGCTTACTAAATTACTGGGCACCTTTAAATAAAAGCACTTTTGATTTAAATACTTTAAAAACAACATGATTATTAAAAAATTTAATTATACAGGTAATATATGAACACATTTTTAACATTTAATTAAAACATAAAGTTAAACATCTCTTTCTGACCACCAGTTTTGATCGCCAATTCTTATTTTTTGATTACAAAATCTCTCTAAACTAACCATAATAATTTATATTCCACCAGTAAACTTTGTTATTTTCTACACTTGCCAAAGCTTGATAGTATAATTAAACTCTTTAATTTTTACTAATATGAGAATAAAAGCAGCCTGTTAATGTTTCCATAAATACTAATGAGCTTACATTTATTAATCACTTGCATATCAAGCTATCGCCAGTGACCATGACATGAATTAGATCCCTGGCCAGGGAGCTGGCTCACATGGTCCTGTCTTGCCTACTGCTCCCCTCAGCAGTGTATATCAGTAGATCTGCCTGTTCTGCTCCCCACTCTCTCTGGTGAATCCTTTCACCCACCCACCCTGCACCTCTGGCCTATACCCCAGTTCTTGTATGCATAAATGAATCAATCTTTAAAAAAAAAAAAAAAAGCCCAACAAAATAGATAAAACTACCACAAAGTATTGTTGGGAGAAAAAGATACTATAAGTTAACAACACTGAGGAACAAAAGAGATACAAAAAAATACTCTGTACATCTTTATACCAATATTTGAAAAAATTAGGTGAAATAGGCCATTTTATAAGAAAGATGAATTTCCAAAATTGACTCAAAAAAACCCAGGGAGGGCCTCCCCAAAGGCACAGCGGTTGAGCGCTGGGTTGCGAAGCTGCCCGCAGCCTCTGCAGTGCCGGTTGGATCCAAGGCTGCTCCCCGGCCACCGGAGGAGGGTCCCGCATGGCGCGCAGACCTCTCCTGAGCCTCTCCTGAGCCCGCTGCTCCCCTCAGCAGTGTACTTCGGTCCTTCTGCCTGCTCTGCTCCCCACTCTGGCTCTGGTGAATTCTCTCACCCTCCCACGCTTCTGAATGTACCCAGTGCTTGTATAAATAAATGAATAAATCTTTAAAAATAAAAAAAAAAAAACCAGGAAATCCAATACTAATAATAGCAGACATAAGATGCTTCTAAAGCAATTTTTTTAAAAAGATTTATTTATTTATGCATACTAGAGCTGAAGTACAGGCCAGAGTGTGGGGGGTGAGAGAATCACCAGAGACAGAGTGGGGAACAGAACACGCAGAATGACGGAAGTACACTGCTGAGGGGAGCAGTGGGCGAGTCAGGAGAGGTCTGTTGCACCATGTGGGTTGCTCCCTGGCCAGCCAGGGATTGAACTAGCGCTGCAGAGGCTGCGAATTGCTTCATAGTGTGGTGCTTAATCCCCGGAGCCACCAGGAAGGCCCCTAAAGCAATTTTAAAAGTTGAAATTTACAGAACTTTCAAGGAAAGAATAATTTCCTAATTCTTTTCCAAAATCCAGAAAAATACAGAAAGCTATACGACTTATTTTATGCTAGAAATTATAAATTCTCAAATTGTACAAACAGTACAATAAATAGTGAAATCCAGGCCTCCCCTGGTGGCGCAGGCAATTGAGTGCAGCACTGTGAAGCTGTCTGCAGCCTCTGCAGCACCAGTTCAATCCCGGCCGGCTGGCAAGGGTCCCACATGGCGCGGCAGACCTCTCCTCTCTCACCCGCTGCTCCCCTCAGCAGTGTATCTCCTCAGTCTGCCTATTCTGTTTCCCGCTCTGCCTCTGGTGAATCCTCTCACCCTCCCGTGCATCTGGCCTGTACCCCGATTCTTGTATAAATAAATAAATCTTTTTTTTTAAAAAAGTCAAATCCAAGCTAAAATCTTAGAAAATTAAACATACTTTATACATATATATGAGCTACTGTAGAATTTATTTTAGAGAGCTAAGTATAAATCAGCATTAGAAAAATCTAGCTATGAATTCAGTATACCAGTAAATTTAAAGAGAAAAGTTACCTTATATCTGAATCTATGCTGAAGAAAACAAAACTGAAAAATCCAACAACTATTTATGATTAAAACACACAGAAAAATCTCCTAGCAAATCAGGAACAAATTGAGGAGCTTCTAAAAGAGTATTACCAATGGTGTATGCATTATTAAAGCCAAACTGGGACAATGTATGAAATTTCTCCTTAAAGGGATCTCATAATGTCCTTTTCAAGAAAGAGTCAATGACTGCCAGAGTCATACATTTTTAATTTAAGAGATTATACTTCTGGATAAACACAGACTAGCATGATTACCTGCTTTAGTGCCTTCTTGCTGTGCTTCTGTGATGGAGAAATGACTTTACCTGCTGGAATGGTGGGTGATGGGCAGCCTGACTGAGGAGAGGATGGCTGAGACAATCTAGACGATACTAAAGGGGGAAAAGTAACAATAAAAAAATTTGTTATCAGAGGTGACATCAAACACCATTCCTTCCCCAATCATATGCTGCTACCTGTATTAAGAACTGTGACCAAACACTTTTGGGAAGGATCTTCTTTTTTGGAGTTCTACTGCAAACAGCCTCCCTTTCCAGTTTATTTCCTCAGAAAGCTCTAGTGAAGGATGATAGGATGGGGAAGGGATGGTGTTAGTATTCATTCTTAAATTTTCCAATAGAATTGACTGAAGAAGCAGGACGCAGAATATAAACCATGAGTCATTAAATTAGAAAAAACTTAGTAAAGATTCTAGAGCGCTCTGGATGGTGTACATGCTCTTAGGGTAATCTAATGACAATGTGGTAATGAGGAAGAGGTCCTGTTTAACAGAATAGGTCCCAGTTCCCCCATCTTGAAAATGAAGGGAATAGGTATTCTACCTCAAAAAACTCTACCAGAGCCTTCATCTCTTATATAGTTTTAGATTTACCAAAAGCTCCCCAAAAGTGAAGGGAAGCTTTAAAATTTCTAATGGAAGCAATGTAAGTTTGCACAGGAAGTAACCTCTCTACTTCATCACTGACTGTTATGGAGTCTGTTAGAGCTTAGCTGAACCTTAGTCTTATATAAATGAGGGCTTTTTCCTTCAAGAACCTACACTTCTTAGGGCCTCCCCTGGTGGCGCAGCGGTTGAGTGCTGGGCTGTGAAGCTGCCCGCAGCCTGTGCAGCGCCAGCCGGCCAGCGAGGGTCCCACATGGTATGCAGACCTCTCCTGCTGAGCCCGCTGCTCCCCTCAGCAGTGTATTTCGTCGGTCTGCCTATTCTGTTCCCCACTCTGGCTCCGGTGAATTCTCTCACCCTCCCACACTTCTGACTGTATCCAGTGCTTGTATAAATAAAAATAAATCTTAAAAAAAAAGCAAATATTGTACAAAAATGAACAATGATGTAAAATATATATATATATATATATATATATAAAAAGAAGTGTAGGGTTTTTTTTTAAAGATTTTTTTATTTATTTATACAAGCACTGGGTACAGTCAGAAGCACGGGAGGGTGAGAGAATTCACCAGAGCCAGAGCGGGGAGCAGAGCAGGCAGACTCAAGTACCCTGCCGAGGGGAGCAGCAGGCGGCAGAAGAGGTCTGTGCACCATGTGGGACCCTCCTCCAGTGGCCGGGGAGCAGCCGGGGATTGAACCGGCGCTGCAGAGGCTGCAGGCAGGTTCGCAACCCAGCACTCAACTGCTGCGCCACCGGGAGGCCCGAACCTACACTTCTTATCATAAATAGCAATTAGATCTTTTTTTTTTTAATATTTATTAATTTATGCACACAAGAGCTGGGGTACAGGCCAGAGATGCGGGGTGGAAGGGGGGTGAGAGGATTCACCAGAGACAGAGTGAGGAACAGAACAGGCAGATTGACTGAAATACACTGCTGAGGGGAGCAGCAAGCGAGACAGGAGAGGTCTGCTGCGCCATGTGAGTTGCTCCCTGGCCTGCCAGGGATAGAACTCGTGCTGCAGAGGCTGCGGATTGCTTCATAGTGCGATGCTTAACCTCTTGCGCCACCAGGGAGGCCCCAGCAATTAGATCTTGATGTTTTAAAAAGTTCAACAATGTATTACTGATAAGAGATATAGAACTTAGTGAATTCTGGTGCTTTAATAGTAATTTTAAAAAATAGCAACCATAATAATTAGTGATAACTCTCAAAGAGTACATATTTACTAATGCCTTTTCTTTTTTTTTTTTTTTAAAGATTTATTTATTTATGCATACAAGAGCTGGGGTACAGGCCACAGGTGCAGGGGGTGAGACCATTTACCAGAGACATAGTGGGGAGTAGAACAGATAGATGTACTGAAATACACTGCTGAGGGGAGCAATGGGCGAGACAGGAGAGGTCTGCTGCACCATGTGGGTTAGCTCTCTAGCTGGCTGGGGATTGAAATGCTGCAGAGGGTGGGGGTTATAATAGCTGAACTAAAAAGGCCTTGATAGCAAAATGCATCCTATGGTAAATCTACACATATTTTAAATATACACATTCATATGCCTATTATGATAGTATCTAAAATCTACATATCAGGAAATTCAATTAGCCAGCCAAAAGACATAGCCGGCCAGATTTTGACCTCAGTATATTTGAGATGGAAAGGCCATCCTGTATTAACCCCAGTTGGTCCTAAAGCCCATGACAAGAGTCCTTGGACACAATAAGATAACACATACAGGAGAAGGCAATATGGAGACAGAGACAGAGACTGGAAAATGTGGCCACAAAGCACCTAAGTCAGTAACCAACAGAAGCTAGAAAGAGCAAAGAACAGTCTTTTTAGGGAGTATGACCTTTGCTGACACCTTGATTTCAGACTTACGGCCTCCAGAACGGTGAGAAATAGATGACTATTATTATTTTTTTTAGATGACTATTATTTTAAGGCACCCAGTTTATGGTAATTTGCTCAGCTTCAGAAAATAGTTGTTTTTTTTTTCCAGAAATTAGTTTTTTAAGTATTATCATCAACTCACTGAAGTTTATATATTTGAAATATTTAAATGAAAAGCAATACTTAAAAATCTGGCATCTACACTATGGAATACTATTCAGCCACAAGAAAAGATGAAATGCAGCACTTTCAACAAAATAGGGAATTTGAGAGAATTATGTGCAGTAAGACAAGTTGGAATGATAAAAATACTGGATATTCACACAGCAGGTGACTCAGTAAGCATCATAAAATACTTTGAAAAGCCAGAGGACATCAATAACCACCGCAAGGGCTCTGAGGTTAAGAGGGAGGTGAGGAGGGAAAGAGACGAGGGGACCTAAGTTGTCAGAAGTCTTCTAGATGGCTCATTCTTTTTTTTTTTTAATTATTTTATTTTATATAATTATTACATCATTTTTCTATTTTTTTCATTTTTCATTTTTTTTTAAAATTTCAGGCTTAGGTATTAGCACAGGTTGATCTGTTTAAGGCACAAGTACCTGGTCTTTGGGACATAAACTAGCACTAAATTTAATAAAATAAAATAAAATAACTGAAAATGAAAAAAGAGATTTACATTTCCTTAGTGTAAATTTAAAACACTATCCGAGATTTACATACAATTAGTTTCAATAAAAGAACAGAATGTCGATTACACTGTAACTTAAGAAAGAGAGAGGGGAGGGGAGAAAGGAAAGGGAGGGGAGAGGAGGGGAGGGGAGGGGAGGAGAGGAGAGAGGAGAGGAGGGGAGGGAAGGGGGAGAAAGAGGGGGGAGGGAGAGGAGGGGGAGAAAGAGGGGGGGAGGGAGGAGGCAGGCAAGAAAGCAAAGATAGAGTAGGCAGGCCTCCCTGCTGGCGCAAGGGGTTAAGCACCGCTCTATGAAGCTGTCCGCAGCCTCTGCAGCTCACGTTCAATCCCCGGCCGGCCAGGGAGCTACCCACATGGTGCAGCAGACCTCTCCTGCCTCACCTGCTGCTCCCCTCAGCAGCGTATTTCAGTCAAACTGTTGTAGAGCAACCCCGATACAAAACGGGGTGCGTGACTGTGGGTCATCACCCGCGCACTTAAAAGGACTTATCAATGCTCTACTGCAGGCACACGCAAAAGGTTAATAAAGGTTTATTTACAAGGGAAGGGGAAATGAGGAAATGTACAGCTCAGGGAGAAAAGTGGGAGACAAAGTTTTCAATGAGTCCTACCCGATCCACCAATCAGGAATTCCAAAATGGCACTCTGAGAGCTGGCCGAGAGCCAGGAGCCGTGAAGCCAGGAGGTGAGCGAGAGAGCGAGCCCCAAGGCCCACGTGTTTTTATATCCAACTTGGCTACCCAACTCCACCCTCAGGTCCCAGCCACCCTCCCTTTGGTGGTGACGGGATTTGTCTTTCCCAATGTCCTGATGGCTTTAGTCTGGAGTGGGGGTGGAGTCCACAAAGCCTGTATGGGATTAGCTCAGGACATCCTTTCCCCCTAACAATTCTGCCTGTTCTGTTCCCCACTCTATCTCTAGTGAATCCTCTCAGCCCCCACACTTCTGGCCTGTGCCCCAGTTCTTATATGCATAAATAAATAACTCTTTGAAAAAAATCATTTTAACCATCAATCCTGTTTATAATCTTTCCTTACAATGTGGCACTTAGAGAAAAATAGTACCTCACAATTGTCTATCACCAGTTTTACTTCAAAAGAACTAGTGCCACCAATTAATGTCAACGAGCATCAAGGAAACACATTATCCACAACAAATGATCTTCAAAAGTAGAATGGAAATGAATTCTACGCTAACAGTTAACCTACATAACAGTGCCAAGAAATAAAATGAACTAATGCAAACACCAGAGAGTAGGAAAATAAATCAAAGAAACTAGCATATTAACTCAAGATACTAAATGAAAAAGAGGATAAAACCAACAGAGAAAGATCTACAAATAAATCCTGTTCCTCTTGGTATGTGGCTCTGCACATTTGGGAGAGTAAGCAGCACTGCTATTATTTGATCCATACCATACACCTTAATTTTCCCAAGCAATTGATACTTCATGCACACTAATAACCTATAAATGATAGCAACCAGCACTAAAGATTAACATTCTGATCCCAGGTTCTTTCCACAAATACCCTTATCCAGCCAAACTTATTTTCCCAAGGCTTCCTGAAAACCCTCTACATATTTTCACCTTCACATCACTTTCTGCGATGTATCCTATCTTCAGGTGAAGTTAGCTACTGCCTTCTATAATGCTGCCACATGTTATTTACGGTCATTTGCTAATTAACTACTCATTTTTCAATGCCTACAAATATTCTGAGAGAACTGTAAGGGTGTGGGGCCCATACATTATTCAAATAGATGTCCCAGATACCTGACAAACAGAACATACTGGAAAAAGAATGAATGTAGCAATGTGGCTTTGTAAATAAATTAATGGCCTAAATAATACTTCTTAAGATTATAACCTGATCTACCAACCTGATCCTCCAATGTGGACTGCTCAATAGATTAAAATCACGCCTACTTAACATATTTTGTAGCAGATTAGAAACAAAAATGTTTCCTATAAACATACAGATATAACTAAAAATTAACAAGTTCTGATCGAAAGATCAGCAGTTATGCATCATTTGATTTAAAACAGAAAAAAACCCAGCCTAGTAGAACAATTACTTGTTTAAAACTAAGTACTTTCACAAAAATATTTAAAACCAGTTTTAGCACTTGCGGCCCATAAAATCAATTTTACTTAGTTTCAGGCTGTACCACTCACTGAGCATAAGGTTAGAAGGTACTACTTTACAGGTAATTTATACAATTGAGAAATTTCCATTTTAACAGATAAGTATTATATAATAAAAGGTCAAGGGATAAGGAATAGTATATTAGATGCATCTGAGCTCAAAGTTTCAGTAAATAATCAGACTTGATACTTTATTTTCTCTTCTGGGCCCCTCTCAAATATTAAGAGACTATCAGAAATAACGGAGTAACAACAACAGTATCAAACCTTAGCTATATATGGTTGAAAGATTAATAGTGGAAGGCCTGAGAACAAATGAGAACAAATGAAGTTTCCAAAGTACTTAATTTTTGGAGTATTTTATTCTCACAATAGTCTTTCTTCAGAGGAATTTCATTTCCAGAAGTAACAGACATTGTTTCATTCTAGGTCCCTTCTTCCTACACCAAGTAGTTATGGCTACTAATTATATTTAAGCAATTCCCTAACCAAAGATGAAGAGGCCATACCCCAACACCTTCCATTGTTTCATGGAACCCTAACTATCCAAGTCCTACTTTTGTATAGTTGTCTTTAATACATGACGTGACAACTCAGTCACCAACAAACCCAGAGAAGAAAACATCTCCCCAAAGACCTTGCTCTCACATTAAATTTACCCAAGGAGTTTTTCTCCCCAGAATACATTTTTAAGGAGACATTTATATATATAATCATCCCCATTCAGTATCTTAACATATGTATAAGAACTGCAGAGGGCAGGCAAGTCTATGGTATTTTAAATAACTATAAGCACAGTATGTATCAAATTCCTGATTTAAACTAGTTCTGAAAAAGCATTAAAACTAACATTAGTTTATGCTCCTGGAAATAACTAGTACTTCCTTACTGGTGAGAAGGTTATTTTACATAATTAGTTTTAAGACACTTTAAAATGGGGCCTCCCCGGTGGCGCAGCGGTTGAGCGCTGGGTTGCGAAGCTGCCCGCGGCCTCTGCGGCGCCGGTTCGATCCTCGGCTGCTCCCCGGCCACCAGAGGAGGGTCCCACATGGCGTGCAGACCTCTCCTGCCGCCCGCTGCTCCCCTCAGCAGTGTACTTCGGTCCTTCTGCCTGCTCTGCTCCCGGCTCTGGCTCTGGTGAATTCTCTCACCCTCCCGCGCTTCTGACTGTACCCAGTGCATGTATAAACAAAACAAACAAACAAACCAGCAAACAAATAAATAAAGCATGCCTCTATAAAAAAAAAAAAAAAAAAAAAAGACACTTTAAAAGCAGACCAATATCTAGCATAACTTTTCTCTATCAGAAGATAAAAACAGTACTGCTACAGATGCTTCATGCTGCACTATTTATATTTTATTGGGGGCAGGGAGAATGGGTAAACAGAGATGCCACTGAACTATGATCCTACTAAAAACCAGCAAAACAAACAAAAAACAATGAAATAGTAGACTTTATTACTCATTTTTCTGGAGTTATTCCACCTTACCTTGGCTTGGAATTCCATAAAGTTCTTCTCTGAACATTGTTTCCTGTCTTAAAATTAGGACTCGGACTATAAACTTCTAACTACTTCCACTTTACAGGGAAATCAACAAAACAGTTTTAATATTGGGCTTAATTTTACAGTTCTGTACTCTGTTCCTATTTGACCGAAAGGTATACCTATTTCAAGAGAGTTTCTATCGATTTTCAACTAGAAGTATCAGTTTTGCTGTCAGAGCTCTTTATTTTTGTACATAAAAGGAAGTGGGTTTTGATACTATCTCTTGTTCTTCCTGTCTTACAATGCATTTGAAATAAAGGGGTGTCAGATTGAGAATAAAAGCCCTAACAAAAAGGAACAGACACACTGCTTTACCTTTATTAATAACTGCAACTGATTTAAAGCTGCTTTGTTGTGTGCTACTGCTGTCACTGCTAACTATGAATTTTCCAACTTTATTTTGTACAAAACATTCATAAAGAATATACACCTAAAAATTTACATGATATCTGTACTACATAATATTTGTATGACCCATGAGTCAGAGAGGCACATTCTATGAAAAATTAGATTCTTCATTATTGCCAGGCCAGCATTTATCCACTTCTTGAAACTATCAGAGTTGCCAGAGTAAATGTGAATTGCATAGGCCATCACATCACATGCGCCTCTCATCTCCACCTTCTAAACACCACATATAGCCCATTCTATTTTCAGTTTAATAAAATACCTACAATCAGAGATCTTAATAGGACAAGTTAATGTAAGTTGAGGAAAGTCTTTCAATATTAAGACAATTTCTAGTAGAAAAATAAATCAAAAGGCAGTTCAAAAACAATTTATCTGGATCACAATTTTGAATTTGCTATTATTTTGCTACTATTGTCTTAAATTATTGTAATGCATGTAGGGCAAGGTCATGGTATCTTAATCTAACTATTATGCTATGGACAACTGGCTCTCTTGTTATTTCTTAGATCCTCCTAAACCACAATACATTTACCTAAAATTCTTAGAGAGCACTTTTAGCCACCAGGCAATAGCTGCTACTAAAAGAGCTACTGCAGCATGTGGCTAATAAAAAGTAAATATATCCAAGACCATGAACTTGTTCCCAGTTTACAAATCTGGCCTCCTTTAATACTGACCCCCTGTTTCCAGTCACCTCCAGAAAAATCTGCATCTGCTGTTTCCCTTGCCTAATGACTTGGCTTGGTTCCTAGATTCTTGGTTCTTAAAGCAACAATTTCCAAAGTTAAAAAGAAAAATTTAATCTGGAGAAACAGAAGAAAGATGGCACCTAACAATTTGGTTCCGTCCTTCCAAATACAGGTCCTTTGCAAATCTGAGGAACGCAAGGCCCTGGTCCCTATGTCCTTTCACTACTAATAGGATTACTCTATATATCATTACATAACAAGAACAGAGATCCCAGCTTTGTCCTGTCTTTATTACATTTGTCCCTAACAATTGAGGTTGCTCTCCAAGTGCATGTGCTCTTAAAGCTAAAACCCTCTGGTTACAAGATTTGCCCAAATTATACATGTAGTACCTATACCACAGAACACAGATGATGTCATCAATTATCTCAATTCTACCCAGGAACTGAACACATATTAACAACAGTGATGATAATGAAATAGACTATTTTTCTGACATAGTTCTATATTAATAATTCTGAAGCAATCAAAATTAATGAGTCCAACAAATAAAACCCTAGTCTCTAGATCAAAAGATAGCTCACCTATAACTCAAATCTAAGAGGCTATCCAAGCTAAGGAAACTCTTAGCTATTTTGTTCTGGTATATCATTGCATCAGACCTAAAAAAGGACCCAATATGAGTTGCCTTAAAATCGGTCACGTTATGGACAGCTTAATTTATAAATATTAAGGTAACAAAGATTTGCTCTCTTCAAGAACACTCTGATAAGAAGCTACAGATAATTAGCTAAGAACAAGTAATAAAGTATATCCTTAAATGGAAAAATAAGTCCCAGGGAAGCTGTGGCAACAAGAACATAACACCAGGGCATGCAATCAAAGACCATGGACTAAAAAATTCAGTCCTTGCTAATAGAAATGAGAAGCATTCTTTCCCTAGTAAGGAGGAGTTTTTAGAGTACTAAGTACCCAAATTTTAGAAAAGAGTGTTAGAGAGACAAATGAAATAAGAACATTAAAAAGTAAAAGCTATAGGCAGCCAAAAGCTGAAAATAAATCCAGGTAAAACCTAGAGCTGTGTTCAATGTGGAGGTCACTAGTCACATGTGGCTATTTAAATTAATATTAAAATTCAGTTTCTCAGCCATACTTGCCATATTTTCAAGTGTTCAAAAGATACATGTTGCTAAGTGGCTATACTGCATTGGACTGGATGGCACAAATACAGAACACTCCCATCAATACAAGAAACTATTGGGCAGTACTGATTCGAAGAGTAAGGGAAAGAGACTAACTGACACTACAGAAAGAGGTAGTGCTAATGCAGGCATTTATCCTACAGCATCCAGCACTTTATTGAGGGATCGGGTATATTTACCTTTCCTCTTCCACCTGTTCTTTTTTCCTTCCTTGTTGCTGCCACCATCACTGCTGCTGCTGCTGTTCTCGGAACTCTGGGAATCTGACTGACCATCACTGCTTTCTTCTGAACCTTCTGATAGCTCTTTCACCCCATCTGGTACATCTTTCTGAAAATGTAGGCATCCAATTAGGATTAATCATTACCATTTCAGCAAGATAGGAATTAAACTTCTGATATACATTTTTGCAACGTAGTTATACTAATTTTCAGTATCAAAGGATTCAGCAGCAGAACAAGCATATTTTCTAAATTCCTGTCATGTCCCTCTTTTTCCAGCAAAATTAGCTAATAATTTTAGCTACATTAAAAGATAAAAATTATAAATGATAATCATGCAGGCACATATGGAGGCTTAAATTAGAAGAAAACTGGGTATATGTAAGTCCAGCTAAGTGATGGAATGTTCAGGATGAAAAACATTATATAATAACAACATTGTATAATGTATATACCTTTTTCATCCTGGCGTGTACCACTATGTATTGCAAATTTAATTTTTTTTTAAATTAGATGCATCTCTTCGGCTTCTACACTATATTATGAAAATGCTGATCAGCAAGTACTGCCTATGTCGACAAGCATATGTAGGTAGTTGCAATATCAAGAGTGAGGAAATTAAGACTTTCTGGCTTCATCTTCTAACTGTGAAGTCTTGACTAATGCCTTAACCTCTCTTATCTCATTTTTCTGTCTATAAGATAGGTTCTATTGTCACAGTACCTACCTTAAAAGAGGACTCTGAAATTAAGTGAGTTAATAAATGTAAAGTGCTTTGAATAAAATACTAGCTACTGTGCATTTACGTAATAAACAGAAATATATACATATAAACGTACATTTATAAAACTATGAGCAGTTCTTTTCTCAATACATCATTTACTTTTCATTATGTTCATGAGAGATCATTTTTCTGAGCCATTTCTTATGTAACACACTTCCCTTTTTTTTAAAAAAAAAAAATTTATTTATACATACAAGAACTAGGGTATAGGCCAGAGGTGGGAGGGGTGAGAGAATTCACCAAAGACAGAGTAGGGAGCAGAACAGGCAGACTGACTGAAATACACTGCTGAGGGGAGCAGTGGGCGAGACAGGAGAGGTCTGCTGCGCCATGTGGGTCAGCTCCCTGGCCAGGGATCGAACTCGTGCTACAGTGGATGCAGATAGCTTCATAGTGCTGCGTCTTAACCTCTTGCACCACCAGGGAGGCTCTGTTATACAATTTCTTAAAACACATACCCCATATTTTTCTATTCTTCCCTTCACATGCCAGGCAAACTATATCCTTTATACAATTAGTTGCCAGTGAAATTCCTGATGCATAGTTTCAAGTATTTTAAATACAACTATCTTCTTTTTTTTTTTTTAACTTGTAATCCCTCCAGGATCAACTGTTTATGTCCTAAATCTTTCTCTCCCTTCATTTACCTACACTAAATGATATATATATTTTTATTTTTTTTTTATAGAGGCATGTTTTATTTATTTATTTTGTTTGTTTGTTTGTTTTGTTTATACATGCACTGGGTACAGTCAGAAGCGCGGGAGGGTGAGAGAATTCACCAGAGCCAGAGCGGGGAGCAAAGCAGGCAGAAGGACCGAAGTACACTGCTGAGGGGAGCAGCGGGCGGCAGGAGAGGTCTGCGCGCCATGTGGGATCCTCCGCCGGTGGCCGGGAAGCAGCCGGGGATCGAACCGGCGCCGCAGAGCCCACGGGCAGCTTCGCAACCCAGCGCTCAACCGCTGCGCCACCGGGGAGGCCCTAAATGATATATATTTTACCTCTTTAGTAATTCTTGTTCCCATCTCTTTTGCCACCCACCCTCTCAGTCAGGCCCTGATGATCTCTTCTAAACAATCAAAACCTTTTAATAAGCTTTCCTTCATTACCCTTGGAATCTATTCTACTTGAATTATGTTTCTAAACATAGATTTGATGTGGTGTGTGTACACACACACACACACTCTCTCTCTCTCTCTCTCTCTCTCTCTCTCTCTCTCTTTCCATCCCTGGTTGCTTACCACAGTAGTCCATACTGATTATGATCTAGTCACTCCAAATTTACTTCCAAATCTATTCTCAATCCTTCCAACTGTGTCTTGTCCTGGAAGGCCCTTCCTTCCTTAACTTATCCACCAAAGTTTAAATAAATCTTAAAAGTTTAAAACAAAAACATCCTAGATCACTCTATTCGAAATTAATCTTTATTTCTCTATATAACTACAATATTTTGTAAGACAATACTTAGAATGTGAACTGGGGGATTGTTACTTTCTTTATAGTCTCACAATATCTAGCACTGAGTTGGCATTTAATAAACGTTAAATCACAAAATGGAGGGGCCATGACAGCTAAAACATCATTAAAATCAGAACTAACTGAAGGGGTCCTGCTTTTAGTTCCTGACTAAACAGTTTCTATCCAGACTTAACAGTTCATGGAGTACAGTTATGTATAATGAGAAGAGAATCTGCCTGAGAATGAAGCCAAAGGAAAGCAGCAAGTCCAATTCCTAATGCTATCATTTGAACTCCTGGATCCACACCAAGTTGCCCTAGAATTTTCAGATAGATGAACTAATAAATTCTTTGTTTTACTCAAGTTCATTCAAGTTGATTGTCCTGCTTCAAAATGAAAGGACATTAATAAGTTAAGATCCTTTCTCAGCTTAAGAATTAGAGATAAGCAAATTTGTTATTGATTTCAGTCAGATATATGTTTAAATTCTGGTTCTAATACTATCTGGCAGGAAAATCCTATTTTCTGAACTTTGGCTTTTCCATTATAAAAAAGAAATAACCATAGCCCTAAGTTGTAATGGAGAATTAAAAGTGAGAAAGTAATATAAAGCCTCAAGGCAGTGTGCTCCATGGTAACACAAAATATTCAAATGTTAGGAGGTCCTTTCAAAAGTCACAGGAAGTCATTTTCATTTCATCCTTTTTTTCAGATAGTATCATAAAGAATAATAAAGTTACTTCTCTCATCCACCTACACAATTAGTTTTTTGAAAATGTATTGTGTACAGGGTTGAAAATATTACCTTTTCCTGAAAATAAGCTCTTCAAAAACAGAATTTGATCTAAAATACTTTTTTTAAAAAAAGATTTATTTATTTATACAAGCACTGGGTATAGTCAGAAGCGCGGGAGGATGAGAGAATTCACCAGAGCCAGAGCAGGGAGCAGAATAGGCAGAAGGACCAAAGTACACTGCTGAGGGGAGCAGTAGGCGGCAGGACAGTTCTGCGCGCCATGGGGGACCCTCGCCGGTGGCCGGGGGTCAAACCGGTACTACAGAGGCTGCGGGCAGCTTTGGAGCCCAGCACTCAACTACGGCGCCACCGGGGAGGCCCCCTAAAATACTTTTTATACTGTTTCTACTTTTTAAATGACTTTTTAACAAAAATATTTACCTTTAAAGTATATACTCCCATTCTACCTGGAACCTTATAGAAGATGCCTTCTTCCCCTCTGGAATTTGTGTGCAGCATTGCGTTGAGGCATGCAAGAGGGGAAGTCCCACTGCAAATAAAAAACATACAATGATTACTTTCAGTCTGATTATTCTAAGCACTGACTTCGGGTAAAATAAGTGGTCAATACTCATTTTACATGAGCACATCTTACAGACTATAGAAATAAGAGGCATTTTTAAGCATCTTTAAGCCAGTCCCATATTTGGAATTTTGTTAAGTCAGAAGCAACTGAAAGAATCCTAAGTTTATTTAATAAGCAGTTCTGGCTTCATATGTTATATATCTGGGAAAAATAATTCTTATATTCTATATAAAAATCATATTCCAAATAGATTAAATGGCAAAATAAATAAAAAGGATTAAAGGAAAACAGTGTAACCTACAGGACAGAGAAAACTGTCTACATAAGAGAGAAAACCCAAAAACCACAAAAGAGGAATATTTGCTAAATAAAAATTAAAATTTCTATACAGGAAATAAATGAGCAGCAAAACTACAGAAACTATAGAAAGCTAGAAAAAGTAACTGCAAAACATACAATAAGTATAACATTAATAGTACTGAAAGCTTCTTTTAGGAAAACACTATTCATTAGAACAAATGAATGATATGAACAAATGATCATCAAACATGCAAACAAAATGTCAGTAAAACACATGAAAAGAAGCTCACACTTAACAGTGTTCAAAAAAGCAAACTGAGATACCATTGGTCAGATTGGGAGTAATCAAATAAATTCAATTCTTAGCAGAATTGTACTTATGTGAATTCTGTGATTTTGATCTTCTGCTACATTTATATAAGATGCCAGCACTGGGGCCTCCCCTGGTGGCGCAGCGGTTGAGCACTGGGTTGCGAGGCTGCCCGCAGCCTCTCCAGCACCAGTTCAATCCCGGCCACCGATGAGGGTCCCACAAAAAAAAAAAAAAAAAAAAAGAAAAGAAAAGAAAGGAAAAAAAAGATGCCAGCACTAGAGGAAGCTGGCTACGTACACATGGGGCCATTTCTCCAATGTCCTGTGAGTCTACACTTGTTTTCAAATTAAATAAAAAACAAATTGGTAAAATTCATTGCTGGTAAGGTTATAGGCAAATCAGCATAATTAGACTGCTGGCAGGACTGAAAACTACCACCTTTCCCTTCATTTCTCAATTCTGCTTTAGGAAGTACTGTGGAAGTATCGGTTAAATTTAAAATTTAAAAATATTAGCAACCACTCAACCATCAACAATCTATCCCACAAAAACAATACCATATAAGTGTAAATATGATCACATTATTTAAAGCATCATAGCACTGAAATGACCTCAAAATCTAGTAAGATGGGAACATTTGACCATATATTAGTAAAGTAACCAACAGGATATGAACAGCAACATTAACAGCTAAAGTAATGTTATGTTCCAGGAAACATTCTGTTTACCTCCCATAACAATCCTTTCAGGACAGCAAAATTATGACGCCATCATATAGTAAGTGTTAAAGAAGTTGTTCGAGACCACATAGTAAGTAAATAGTAAGGCCGATATTCCAATAAGAAAATAGAACATAAGGAAAGAGATTGTTTTAAAAAGAACATGTTAGAGGCCTCCCCGGTGGCGCAGCGGGTTGAGCGCAGTGCTGTGAAGGTGTCCGCAGCCTCTGCAGCGCAGGTTCGATTCCCATCCGGCCAGGGAGATTCCCACATGGCGTGGCAGACCTCTCCTGTCACGCCCGCTGTTCCCCTCAGCAGTGCTTTAGGTCCGTCTGCCTGTTCTGCTCCCCACTCAGTCTCTGGTGAATCCTCTCACCCTACCGCACTTCTGGCTCTACCCCAGCTATTGTATAAATAAAAAATAAATCTTTAAAAAAACACATTATAATCTATTAAAAGTCCATGTTAATCTATCATAGATAGGTGAATAATCTACAGTAAAAGTTTGGTATTCAACTGCAATAGTAAGCACTTGCTCTGGTTAGGCTAATAAACTAGTCTGTGGATATAAAGAAAAAAAGCATCTTATAGGAATGATAGACAAGTGAACAGATGTCCACATTACCCTGTGCTCATGCTATTAATATAGACACACATTTACAATATCAGACCTAAAACATCTACTGTCAAATGTTTCAGGCAAAGGCGCTTTGATTTCAGAAAGGCAACATGCCCTGCCATTATCATGTTAACACCACAAGAGGGATTAGGAACAACATCCATAATCAAACAATGAAACAAGAACAGTCATGCTAAATTGGATAAAGAGCCTGAATATCATTTCACATCCATTCAAGAGAAGTGGTGTCTCTGATGTTGACTTTCGGTGCCAACTCTATGAAAGATTTTGGAGTTACAGAAGAAAAATGGTAGGCCTGTACACAGCGAGTGTTTTTTTTTTTTTGTTTTTTTTTTAAAATAGAGGCATGTTTTTATTTATTTATTTGTTTGTTTGTTTTGTTTATACAAGCACTGGTTACAGTCAGAAGCGCGGGAGGGTGAGAGAATTCACCAGAGCCAGAGCAGGGAGCAGAGCAGGCAGAAGGACCAAAGTACACTGCTGAGGGCAGCAGCGGGCGGCAGGAGAGGTCTGCGCGCCATGCGGGACCCTCCTCTGGTGGCCAGGGAGCAGCTGGGGATCGAGCCGGCACCGCAGAGGCTGTGGGCAGCTTCGCAACCCAGCGCTCAACCGCTGCGCCACCGGAGAGGCCCCCACAGCGAGTGTTTTAAGTCAGAGAAAAAGAAACATTTAATCTGGTCTAGGGTTTAGCATCAGAAACAAAAGACAAAACAAAATAAGCAAAAAGCCCTAGACAAAACAAAACCAAAAAACTCTATAAAATGAAACTCATAAAATGAAAGTAAATGGCACATCTGGGGAAAAAGATGTGGTAAGAGAGATGCAGACACAACCATATTTTCCTTGCTATTTTTTGTATGATTTTACTTTGAAGGAAATAAATCTTGAAAAACCCACAAGATATACTGAACACTGTTACTATTTAAAACAGAAATTTAGATTTCATTTCAGGAAAATACAAAAAGTCAGCATAGCCTGGAAGAATTTATTTTTATGAATAATAAAGCAATGGTAGAAAAGCAAAATAGGTTATACTGTCCATGGTGTGAAGAGTATTTCTTCAAGGAAAGTAAAGCCAGAACAATGTAATTAAATAAAAATAAGGAATAAGTATTGCTGTATGAGTGATAAAACTTTATAACTGACAAAATAAACACCAATGTAAAACCAAGTAAATATAATATGGGGTAATGTGCTTCAGATACCTGAAGCAGCTAAGGCAAGAACACCTCAAAAGATTACCTATATTGAGACAATGCAGCTGCTAATTTTTCGTGACCATGATCAAGAAGTTGCAGAGATGGGCCTCCCTGGTGGTGCAAAGGGTTAAGACACAACCTATGAAGTGATCTGCAGCATGAGTTCGATCCCTGGCCAGGAAGCTACACACATGATGCAGCAGACCTCTCCTGTCTCGCCTGCTGCTCCCCTCAGCAGTGTATTTCAGTCAATCCACCTTCTCTGTTCCCCACCCTGTCCCGAGTGAATCCTCTCAGTCCCCCGCATCTCTGGCCTGTATCCCAGTTCTTGTATGCATAAATAAATCTTTAAAAAACAAATAAAACTAAACTATAGCAATGTGCTGACATATTCTTAAAGAATGACAAAAGGAGGTTCTTCAAACAGAAATGAAATGATAAGAGCATAAATACTGTAGCATCAGGAAGGAAAACAGCACCAAGAGCAGGAATAGGGGCACATATACTAGGCTATCCTTCTCATGAATTTTTTAACTCATATTTGATGATTAGAACAAAAATTATAGTACTATCTGACACTCAAAATAATGAAATTTAAATATTTAATAATAAACTTCAATAATAAAATTTCCATACTTCTAAGTGGTAAAATGTTGGTAACAATAGACAGTGATAAATCACATGTATATACTTTAATGCCCAGAAGAAACATCAAGAAACTTACAGAGAATAAAGAAATGCACTGTAAGTAAACAGAGTATGGAACTCTTAAAAAATAAGACAAGAAAAGAGAAATAGAGGAAACAAACAAAACAAATAATAAGATGGCAGGCATAAACTAATTATATCAATAATTACCTTAAAATTAAATTGTGTAAACACAGAAATAAAGAGATTGACAGACCAGTTATTTTTTTCTTAAGAATACAGCTCAACCATAAACTATTTATAAGAAATTCATTTCAAAATCTGAGAAAATGGATCACATATACTGCTGATAGGAATGTAAAATCACTGTAAAATAGTATGAATATTTCTTTCAAACTAAACATACACTTACCACACAATTCAGCAATTGTACTTCTGGGCATTTATCACAGAGAAAGGAAAATCTATGCCCACACAAAAGTGCGCACAAAAATTTTCAAATATATTTGTAATAGCCAAAAGACAGAAACAATCCACATGTCCTTCAATGAGTGAATGCTTAAATAAACTGTGTTACATCCATGTAATGGAATACTACTCAGCAATGAATGTGAATGAAATATTAATACATATAACTTGGGTAAGTACACAGAAAATTGTATTAAAAAAGACAAGCCCACTTTCAAATGATCACATACTATGTATATGATTCCAGTAGCAAACTCTGGAAATAACAAAATTACAGAAAATGTGGAACAAATAAGTGTTGCCAGGAGTGAGGTGGGGTGATAGGTACATGGCTATGAAACAGCAACTCAAGGTTTTCTCTTGTTGAAAAAACTGTTCTGTATTCTAAATGGTGGTGGATCCCTGAATCTATTTATGTGCTAAGACAGCAGAGGGCCAAATGCACATGTAAATAAGCATGTGAATATACATGGGCACACACATGAGTAAATAAAACCAGATAGGCTGCATCAAAAACAATATTTTAGTTGTAATACTGTACTATGGTGTTATACAACATTACCATTGGGAAGATCTGTATTAGGGTTATTTCTAATAACTATTTGTGGCTTATGATTTTGTAACCCTCTAATTTTCTACATTGAATATAGTGGACATCTGTTGTTTCTGCCTGACCAAAATGCATTCTCTCTTCTTCTGGAAAGAATGTGCAATTTCGCTCTGGAAAACTATACCCTACCCCACTGGAAAGTCCTTGGTAGGACCATCAGTCAAGATGTCTTACCAACAGAGTGCTGGACCAGCCAGGCTCACCCTTCCCTAAATGTTAACCTTGAACATAGTAGACATGCACGAATTCATTCCACCCGGACAGACTTGATCCATTAGTTCTAGCTACCTGATCTCTGAAGTTGCCTCCATTCTCTTCATTTCAGACTCTGTTTCTTTCCTTTGAGTCTGGGAGCAGTCCCACATTCTTCAAATAAATCCCATTTTGCTTAAGTTATTCACAGTTAGTTCCTATTGTTTGTACCTAAGGAACCTAATCAAATATAAGCCCCCACAACACATTTTTTTTTCTTACCTAGTTTTAATTTTAATTAAAATTTGAACATGTTTTCATGGCATGAATTAACTTTCCCTCCATAAATGGACTCAAAAGTGAATAGATTCTTGTAAATGGACTTAGTGGAATGCAAATTTAACTGGCATTTAAAAGATTTATCAATCTCTAACCAGAAGCCAAGCATGTCATGTCCAAACACATGGATGTGGTTCCTACTCTCAAATTGTTAGGGGGAAAAGGCAGTCCCAAAGCAAATTCCATACAGGCTTTGTGGACTCCACCCCCACCCCAGGTCAAAGCCAAAGACACTGGGAACTCCAAATCCCATCCCCACCAAAGGGAAGGTGGCTGGGACCTGAGGGTGGGGTTAAGCAGCCAGGTGGATACAAAAGGCAGACACGTGGGCTTTGGGGGCTCTCTCCATTTTGGGGCCCTCGGCCAGCTCGCGGCGTCCGTCTAGCTCTGAGAGTGACTTTGGGGTTTCCAGGTCGTCGGATCGGGTAGGACGCATTAAAGACTTTATTTCCCTATTTTCTCCCTGAGTTGTACATTTTCCTTATTTCTTTTTCTCTTGTAAATAAACCTTTTATTAACCCTTTTGCGTGTGTCTGTAGTAGAGTATTCATAAGTCCCTTTAAAGCGCGCGGGTGAGGACCCACAGCCAGGAACCCGTTTAATATCGGGGTTGCTCTATAACAAAATCTCACAAGCAAAGTTAGATAACTATACAAGGTAACATGAGAACTGCTCTAACAGAATTATGTCTAAACTGCTATGTCAACACAGATAAAAAGCCAATTCAGAAAAGGATTCAACCTAGGAATTTCAACCTGTTCTGGCATGATTTAAATAAGTATCATTCTCTTAGAGGATTTACCAAAAGTCTCTCTAAATTGGCCAAAATAGTAACATAAATTTTCAATCATATAATTATAAAGCAAATGTTAGCTTATAACACTTCAATTCTTAAATATTCCCATTACTGATCTGCAAAATACACATAAGCCAATGCTAAATCAAATGATTTTAATGAAAACGAAATGTAGATTTAGTGTCTAGAATTATGACTAAACAATTATTATAAACCGCAAGAACAAAAAGAGCATACATAATATTTACATAGTAATTTCACTTAGTTTCTAACTACTTAAGTTTTATAAAGTAAAAATCATGCATCCAAAGGGAAGTTCAAATAAACTGGCAAAAGTGCTTTATAACTGTATAATACTTCTTTAGAATAAAGTAATACATCTTACCTTCTGGAGTTGGAATGCACCCCAAGAAAATAAAAGGAGGGAAAAAAAAGAACTTTTAATTTTTCTTTACAAAGCAACAATAATTTTATTTCTCCCTTCCCCTCCCAGCAATATCCACAATTCCACAAATTAGCAACCCCCCTTTGCTACATAAAAACAATTTCTTCTTTAGCATTTACAAGTTAGCCCAAAATATCACGGTGTCTAATAATGCACAATTAAATTCCATTAAATAGTCTAAACCATTTCAGATAACAGTTACAGGATCTTATTTATGTGGCAAAGTAAAGCTGTAACAGCAGTTAAATGTGGATACAAAAAATATTCCCCATCCTTAATATTCTTCCCATGCATTTCAATTTCAAGGAGCCATCATAAAGCCATCAGCTATGGACCCTAAAGTTTATTTAGCTTTCCTTTGATCCAAAACAGAACTCATTGAGAATCTGAGTATCGAATAGTGAGAATACTCTTCTATCAATATCCAAGCACTTTTTCCTTTGTCTTTTCATCATTAACCCTTTTGGCATCCCTACAAAGTCTAAGTACTTTAAAACAGACTGCAACTCACAGATAAATGCATCAGTCAACATTAGATAAATATGGTATCAATTTAATTAATGATGTTCTTCATTCTACAACTAAAACCACCTCAAAGCAATTCAGATTGCAAATGACTTGCTCTGCAGAAATAATGGTTTCTGCTGAAAAGCAGTAGAAAACGTTGCCTTTATTTCCCTTGCCATATACTTTTTGCATTAAAAAAAAAAAGGTGGGGGAGGGATTAAGTGATCTGATTAGCTTTTATTTGAGGATTATTTTGTTTGTAAGTAAATGCAATGTGACTCCTCCCATATCAGGAAGTTTCATTGAGCATGATCTTTGTAGATGGTTCTTTACAATTCCCACCCTAAAGGAGTTTGCTTGGAATACAAGACTGAAAGGGAAGAAAAACTTTTGCCACACAACAGTTTGGAGCTCTGCCAAATAACAATATAAAGATCTATTTAAATGTTCAGTAAGGGCCTCCCTGGTGGTGCAAGGGGTTAAGACGCAACCTATGAAGCTGTCCTATGAAGCTGTCCGCAGCCTCTGCAGCACGAGTTCGATCCCCGGCCAGCCAGGGAGCAACCCACATGGCACAGCAGACCTCTCCTGTCTCGCCCACTGCTCCCCTCAGCAGTGTATTTCGGTCAGTCTGCCTGTTCTGTTTCCCACTCTGTCTCTGGTGAATCCTCTCACCCCCCACACCTCTGGCCTGTACTCCAGCTCTTGTATGCATAAATAAATAAATCTTTGAAAAAAAAAAAAAAAGAAAATAGAATTAAAAAAAAAATAAATGTTCCGGTAGGATAAGTTCTTTAAAAATATACTGACCTTTTCAGAAGCCAGGTTATTATATGGCTGAGGTTTCTATTTCAAATTTTTTCAGAAAATAATTTACAATTAGATAGTAACTAACTTTTTTTTGTTATGTAAGCACACAAGATATAAATTTTATTTGAAAAATAATACAACAAATATATTAAACGGAGGATGAAAGAGAACTATAGATTTAGAGACAGTAGGATACCTTGAAAGAGCAAAACCAGAAGCAGGTAGCCTGGGTTTCTAGTTTCACTGAGCTAGCTGCATGACTATGGCCAAGTCTCAATCTCCTTAATTCTTCTATGAAAAAAAATACAAGATGCAAGTGTAGTATCCTAATTATCTTTTCAAGCTATAACATCCTATGACTGAAATAAAGAGACTGATTTGGAAAAGGGGAGGGAGGAGAGGCTTAGGAATGGAAGAGATCGCTCATTTGTGGGGACTTTCAATCAGTGGCATCAACTATAACATAACTTGGAGGCCTCTGAACCATGCAGTTGATCTAATAACATAGGATGGTCATGTGGACTGTTCTAACTTTGCATTGGTAGAACTCCTATATCAGAGTGAATTTTGGGGGGTTTGTCCTCACCACTTTGACTAAAGGCCAGCCCCCTAGTTGGGGAGATAAACTAAGATAAGAGACAGATAAAACTCTGAACAAAGTTCCACACTGAGCAACCCACATGGCGCACCCACTTTACTGGCTAAAAGAAAGGGGAACTGGACACTGCAAGTTAGAGTAGTGAGTGGGGGACAGGAGGTGGGGGAAGCACACAAAGCTAGAGAGAACTGGAGAAAGGAACAACCTAATTCCCACAAAAGGCCTGGTCTGATCCCTGAGCTGTGCATTCTTGGGACATTCCCAGGTACTACAGAAAAGGCTTTGAGAACTGAAACACTGGTAGTATCTCAGACTAACCCAGAGAAGCTCACGCATGAAACAGATGTTTTGGAGACTAGAGTGATTACTGAACCAACACCTACAGAAGGTAAGAGAACATGTAGCCACCGGCGAGGGTCCCACATGGCGCACAGACCTCTCTTGCCGCGCTCGCTGCTCCCCTCAGCAGTGTACCTCGGTCCTTCTGCCTGCTCTGCTCCCTGCTCTGGCTCTGGTGAATTCTCTCATCCTCCCGCGCTTCTGACTGTACCCACTGCTTATATAAATAAATAAATCTTTAAAAAAAAAAAAAAAAAAAAAAAAGATGGACTACAACCTTAAATTTCTCAATAAGCCACCCAGAAAAATGTGATAAATTCTCAAAGTGCAACAGGGTGGTCCCCAGGAGAAAAGACGACCAACAGTCGCCAACACTGAGGTACCCAAACTTGTTGGATTTAACAGACAAAAAGTTTCAAAGATTCATTATTACTATACTTAGTGAGGTAGAGACAAAAGAACTTTAAATAATGGAAGTTTTCGGAAGAGAAAGAACTACTAAAGAATTTCAGAACTAAAAGATATAAAATCTGAAATTTTAAAAATAGCTCTAAATTAGGGATTCAATAGCCAGATGTAGAAAACAGAGAAGAGAGTCAAGAAATGTGAGGATAAAGAAATAGAAGTTATCCAATCTGAAACAGAGAGAAAAAAAAGGTTGGAAAAAAATAAGCAGAGATTCAGGGGACAGTGGTGAAGTATCAGGAGATAACCATGTCACTGAACCCCCAGATACGTTAGCAAAACAAATGCAGCAAAAATAATTGTATTACCACCACAGGTATACAAGTCTCATTCAGTATTCCTAAAGCAATCAATGTAATGCACCTTATCAATAGATTAAATAGGAAAAACCATATGATCATACCAATTGATCACGTAAGTACCAGACAAAAATCAACAGCCATTCTTAATAAAAACTCTAAGCTAAACTAAAACAGAGGGCATTTTAGGTTGAACTGTCATCATTCCCACCCTGTGCTCTGTTCCACCTCCCCCAAAGGAATATCCTCACTTCAGGTTCCTGTGAATGTGACCTTATTTGGAAACAGTCTTTAGATGTTATCAAGTTAATATGATGTAATCCTAGTGGCCCTAATCCAATGACTTGTGTCCTTATTGGAAAGAGGGACACACGGAAAATGCTATATGAAAAGAGAGAGAGACTGGAGTGATGAACCACAGGACATGGAACTCCAAAGACTCTAGGCAACCACCAGAATCTATGAGGGAGGCTGCCACATTCTCCCTCAGGAGTCTTCTAAGAGGAAGCAATGCTGCCGAAACTTTGACTTCAGATTTCCAGCCACCAGAATTTCAAAGATTAATTTCTACTGTTTTGAGGTACCCTGTTAAAGCAGCCCTAGGAAAGAGTAAAGAGAAACTTCCTCACATTGATAAAGAACATCTAAAAAAAAAACCCATACCTAATATCATACTTAATGGAGCATGACTGAATGCTTCCCCCCTATAAAAAAGGAGGCAAGGATGTGTGTGCTCACCGCCCTCATTCAGCAAAGTAGGGAAGTTCTAAATAACAAAAAAGGGAAGTGAAACCAATAGTGTAGAAGCAGCCCGATGGTACTGGTGATGAGGACATTTCATTTTCACTTTTTATAATTTATGTTACATATAAGTTTGAAATAATACAATTTAATATTAACCCAAAAGAAAGCAGGAATGTGCTTCAAGAAAAAAACCCCAATTTGGAGACAAAGACTTTTGGGGGAGGAAGAGCTTATTCCACCCAATACGGAAGTTGGAATCAGAAAATCTCTAGTTAGGGCCTCCCCAGTGGCGCAGCAAGTTGAGTGCAGCGCTGTTTGAAGCTGTCCATAGCCTCTGCAGAATAGGCTCGATTGCCGGCCAGCCAGGGAGATTCCCACATGGCGTGGCAGACCTCTCCTGTCTTGCCCTCTGCTCCCCTCAGCAGTGTATTTCATCAGTCTGCCTGTTCTGCTCCCCACTCTGTCTCTGGTGAATTCTCTCACCCTCCCACACCTCTGACTTGTACCCCAGGGGAGAGGGAGGGAGGGAGAGAAGAGAGAGAGAGAGAGAGAAAGAGGGAGAGATAGAGAGAGAGACAGAGAGAGAAAGAGAAGGGAAGGAAGGAAGGAAGGAAGGAAGGAAGAGAGGGAGGGAGGGAGGGGGAGGGAGGAAGGAAGAAGGAAGGAAGAAGGGAGGGAGAGGGAGGGAGGGAAGAAGGGGGGAAGAAGGGAGGGAGGAGGGAGGAGGAGGGAGGAGGGGAGGAGAGAGAGAGGAGAGAGAGAGAGAGAGAGAGAAAGAGAGAAAGAGAGAAAGAGAGAAGAAAGAGAGAAAGAGAGAAAGAAAGAAAATGTCTACTCAGTGCCTCCCTGCTGACACAGGGGTTAAAGTCTCAGAGCTATCAAGCTATTGGCAGCCACTGCTGCCAATAGTTTGATCCCAGGCCAAGGAGCTGACCCACATGGTGCAGCAGACCTCTCTTGTCTCTCGCTTGCTGCTCCCCTCAGCAGTATATTCCAGTAGATCTGCCTGTTCTGCTCTCTGGTGAGTCCTCTTACCCTCCCGCCTCCCTGCACCTCTGGCCTACACCCCAGTGCTTGTATGTATAAATAAATGAAAATAAATCCTTTAAAAAAAAAGATACTGTCCATTTATAGGTATCTAACCATGGATCACTATTTCTCAATAGAAACATGATCAGCATCTGAGCTAAACAGTTCTTCAATATGAAAAATGGGCCACACAAGACCATTTTAGCAGCCCTGTTACCTGCCCATTAAATTCCATAGTGCTCGCTTCTTTCTGAAATAAAAAATACCCACCAAAAATTTGAACCCTTTTCCAGTTCTTATCCCTAGCTGAGAATAACTAGAATAACAGTTCTAAAGCACCACACCTTTTTTTTATTAAGGATTTATTTTTATTTATGCATACAAGAGCTGGGACACAGGCCAGAGGTGCAGAGGTGGTGAGAGGATTCACCAGAAACAAAGTGGGGAACAGAACAGGCAGAGTGATTGGAATACACTGCTGAGGGGAGCAGTGGGCAAGTCAGGAGAGGTCTGCTGCACCATGTGGGTAGCTCTCTGGCCCGGGATCGAACTCATGATGCAGTGGCTGCAGACAGCTTCCTAGGTTCCGTCTTAACCCCTTGGGCCAATAGGGAGGCCCTAATGCACTACAACTTTTTACACCTGAATGGAAGTATCTCTAATGTAGACTCCCAAACTTCTGCCTTAACATATATTTAACACAATTTTAACACTTTAACAATTCACGGTCTTGTTTATGAATAGTAATGATTATGTGCTACTATAACACAATAAGACTCTTAGAAACTAAGGTGTGCTTTATCTTTGGTCCTGTATAAATCTCAAACTTATAATTAAACATTTTAAGATTATTTATTGAAATGTACACTACATTATAAGTTTTTGGCATTTTATTCTTTTTTGGCTAAGGTTATTTCTTCCTAGACTGTCTACCTCCAGCACTCCTCCTTCATTAGAGTACCTTGTTATCTGCTCATAACCAAGCTGATTAATATAAAAACCTGCATTGATAGATGAAGGCTTGAAGATGGCTCCGGGCCTTCCTAAGAATTAAAGTGCATGGGTGTGGAGTGAACTGCTTCTTTCTTGAGAATGTTTTTCAAAGATACTTTTAGTTTTTAACTGTGCTATGACTGAAAACTACAAAGATCTGACAACTTAAATCAAATTAACAAAGAGGGTTACTATTTAATAATCTTCAATCTCCACTGTTATATACAAAATATCCTAGAGTATTATAATCAAGTAATACAATCAAGACTAGTAATATTTTAACAACTCACCTGATTTCTTTTAGTCCTTCTCTCTGGATAACTTGAAGAATTTCTTTATGACTCATGGGTGTATTGGGGTATTTTTCTAAGACCTGAGAAACAAGTATACAAAAATAAATTATTTCTTTTTAAGTTGTTGTTATAATTATACATGAAACTATACTAATTGTTCACATTATAACTATGGATTAATACATACACCTATGTATTATACATACCCCATACATACATATCCGGAGACTTTTATCCCTTATATTTCAGGATAACAACAAAAGTGAAACATTAATGAAATATAAATAGGTTTCTTTTTTTCTCTTTTAAGTCACAATATCAATTCTTAAAAGCAGTAATGGATCAAATAGGATTAAGATTATTAACTACATTATTATTAAAGTGTAACATGAAATTGTGTAATTTCTGCCTCCACCCCCACAACACCTATCTACCTGTGGACCTACTGTAAGCACCTTAAAGATTATTCATCTTTACATTTCCAGCAAAGCCACTTAATACAGCATGGATGCTCAAGAACTGGTACCCGAATCAAAGAACAATAGTTACAATGAAATTAAAATCTAACCTGTGTTCCAGTGCTGATAAAAACAGAGCAAACTCAGTTCATCCTATTTCTCCCACTGAAAACAACTAAAAGCATGATCGAATGCATATGGCGGGGTCTCCCTGGTGGCGCAAAGGGTTAAGCACAGCACTAGGAAGCAATCCACAGCCTCTGCAGCACAAGTTCCATCCCCAGCCAGGGAGATACCCACATGGCCCAGCAGATCTCTCCTGTCTCGCCTGCTGCTCCCCTCAGCAGTGTATTTCAGTCAATCTACCTGTTCTGTTCCCCACTCTGTTTCTGGTGAATCCTCTCACCCCCTGTACCTCTAGTCTATGCCCCAGTTCTTGTATGCATAAATAAATAAATCTTTAAAAAAATAAGAAGAATGCATATGGCAACTAGTTGAGGACTCTGAAAATGGCAGCAGGTGATTGGGGGAGGAAATCACAAATGAAAACACAGTTCAAACTCAGAGCTGTACACTAAGTGTATGCAGAAATGGCTCCAAAACAAGCCAACACAGCAGCTGTGGCAGGTAAAGTGATGATTACCAGCAGTGGCTTGACATGGCCCCAAAACTATAACAGAGAATTCTTTCTGGCCCCACAAGTGTGGAGGAAATCCCTAGGGCTTATACTCTTTCTCTGCCACCAGGCTCTTTAGCACAGAAAGCAAATGAAGTTATGGAAGGGTGAGATAAAATAGAGAAACAAAAACCCTCGTTGTCTATCCAGAGGGAAAAGAAGCAGCTAGGTTTCTAGAAGCCAGAAAGTGTGAGGGAACTTGCAGAAAGAAAGGAGTCCAAGAAAATGACACTGGGAGTTCTACAAATAACACTGGTATCATCCTAGAACTTTACATTTGTGGATCTGATCCAAGAACATACTATCAAGTTCCCAAATTAGCCACTAGGTGGTATACAAACAGAACAGCTCAGAACAACTGGGCAAACACTGAAAATTGCACATTGGAGTTTTACTACACATAAGTGAGTATTAACTTGTGAACACACACACACTTCCACAGTATTTAAGATACAGAGTATCATAACATAACATCAAAATGTGTAAGATACAACCCAATCAACAAATGAAGAAACAAGAAAATCTCAGTAACTCCCAAGGGAAAAACACCCCACACATGACAAATCGAAGATGATATAGATGTTGAAAACATCAGACAAAGACCTTAAAGATTATAGCCATGCTCAAAGGAAAAAAGAAAGAGAATCTCAGCAGGGCCTCACTGGTGGTCCTGGGGTTAATGTCTCAGCGCTATTAAGTTATTGCCAGCCACTGCAGCAAGAGTTCAATCCCCGGCCAGAGCGGTGACCCACATGACACAGCAGACCTCTCCTGTCTCACCCACTGCTCCCCTCAGCAGTGTATTTCAGTAGATCTGCCTGTTCTGCTTCCCACTGTCTCTGGTGAATCCTCTCACCGCCCGCCCCCCCACCTCTGGCCTGTACACAGATCTTGTATGCATAAATAACTAAAAAATAAATCTTTTAAAAGAGAATCTCAGCAGAGAAAGAAGGTGTATGTGTGTTAGACAAAATTTGAGAATTAAAAAATAACAATAGCCACAGTAAAAACCAAAATTCTCTGAAAGAGCCCAACTGCAAAGTGGAAAAAAAAGAGGAATCAGTGAACTCAGTGACAGACTAGATATAAAAAAGAAAAATTACAGAAAAAGTGAGCAAACAGAACAAAGAATCACTTCATTTTAATATGGCTGAATATTACCATTTATATAAAACTACTTAAGTATACTGACATGAAAGATTAAGCTACCAGAAATGAAGGACTTTTATAAACCAACATTACCTCAATAAACAGTATTACAGAAAAAGAAACAGAGACCTGAAATATATGTGTATCTTTTAGTGAGGACTTCACTGATTTTCTATATATTATTACTGTTACATTGTTTTACCACAAATTTTATGTAAGTGGAAAGATTACAGGGATTTTGCAGAACATTTAGCTTACTTTAACCACAGGAGGGCAATGTTTATCAAACAAAGTATCACTGCATTGGCAATGTTAGTAGAACTACAAAACACTATTTTGAGAAACTACTTTATGACCATCTGAGTAAGTGCTCAGAAGAATTAAAGTCATTAATACATCATTTTCTTTGTTTGTAAATTCTCACCATCTAGCTGATTGGATACAAAAATTATTTGAGTCTGCAAGGATAATCTAAATAGCCCCAAAGATTCTATTTGAATCATCTAAGTTACAGTAGTATTTCATTTCAATTATTGCTGCACTTATGAGTTCATTCCAGATAAGCACAGATACATACAGCCTGAATTTTGTGTAATTTTAGATGAACCTTATTTTACTTTTAAAATGTAGAAATAAAAATAATCTTTATGCATTTATACTGATGCTACATGGTTTTTCTACTGTCCCAAAGCCTTAATTAGGGACTAATGTCCCAGTAGTGAGAGAGGCCACCCAGGAAATACGCAGAGTAAGTGACGAGAACCTGCAGTAGAGAACTAGTATACCAATGTTTAAGAGTCAAAGAAGAAAAACTAGCAAATAAACTAAGGAGTGGCCAAAGGAACAGGAAGAAAATCAGACGAATATAGTGCCTCACAAAATCAAAAGCATTAGAAAGGGATGAAGTGGTCCACAAAACCAAAAGCTCCCTAGAAGTTAAGTGCAAAATCTACCATATTTAGCAACGAGGAGCTCTTTAGTTTTAAAGTTCAGATTCCATTTGGTCAGGAAGAAAGAAACCAAACTGAATGGGGAAGTCCAGAGGCAGCAGTGGGAATTAAAATAATTCTTCCTGAACAGTATAGGAAATGTGGAGGGGGGAGAAAGAAAAATTATTTTGTCCAATGAAAAGTTTCATTAAGCCAGAATAAAAGGAGGCAAAGGTATCCATAGCTAGTCCAATGCTTCCATTCCAACATGAGAGCCTAATAGAGTCAAATATAGTTTGACAAGTCCCTCATCCGAAGGTACTACTGACAGTTTTTGACATTAAGGAACACAATTAAAAGGATGCAGTGTCCCTCAGCTACCAAACTCAACTAAATAAACACTATTCTGAGTTCAGGAACTAAACTGATAATACCAAGAAATATATGGAATTTGAACAAAAGAAATAACTAATAGAGCCAAATATCCAAGGAGGAAAGAGGGAGAGGCTCTCACCTGGCTGCTTAGCAGTATGTGCTGATGCCCACCCCCTGTCCTGATGCACTCCTCATTTGTCAGCTTCTGTGACACCACCAGACTCTCACTTCCCTCCTACTTCACCAGCAATTTTTCAATCTCCAGTCTTTTAATGGTGATCTTCTGCAGGACTCTCTTTCTCATCTCAATTTCTATTCTCCTTGGGCATTTTCATCTTCCCATGATTTAAAAAGCAATATGCTCCCTATAGCAGCACCCTATTCACCCTAATTGTGCTTATCACACTGTATTTATTTTAACCCCATTTTAGATCATTTGTCTTAGCCACTGGCATATAAACTTCATGAGAACTAGAACTATCTGGTCTGTTCACCTAGTACCCTAGTGCCTATCACATACGTAGGCCTAAAACATGTTATGGCTGACTGACGGAATTAGGAACATAGGTGGCAAGACTGGCTTTAGTTTTTCTTTTAAACAAGAAGAATAAGAGAAATGAGTATTAATGCAAATAAGTTTGTAGATTCAACCACAGAAACTTGAGTATAAGTCACTAACAAAATTTAAATACAAATGACTTCAGAGAGGCAGCTATGAAAATCCAGAGATTACAGAGGCTGACTTTATAAGCTCCGTAAGTTAACCTCAAGGTTCCTCAATACTGAACAACTCTATAAAGCCATTCTGATCTAGTCCACTGCTGGCTTAGATTCTTTTTTAGCTGATTATCCAAAAAGTCTGAGTGTTCTTGCGCACTTCCTATTTCATGCAAAAACAGTTCTCAAAACCTAATTCTCCCAAAACAGTAAGTTACCGATAATAACAGTAACATTTAATACACATCCAGCATTTAAGTGAGAGGTACTATTCTAAAAGCTTTACACATATCATCTTTGAATCTTTACAACAAACCTATGACTATGAGGTAGATAATATTTTATCCCATTTTTCAGATGTGAAAACTGAGGCACAAAGAAATTAAATAACTTGCAATTCACATCAGCTAGTAAGTGATAAAGGACAAAACTATTTGTTCCTAAGCATTATGCCATACTCCCTCTCAATCAGTTACACATCCATACTACTAAAAAGTAACTCTTAGTGTAACAAACATTCACCAGTGCTTCTTAAGTGCCAAACTTTGGAGGTACATAGAATAAAGAAACAATCCCTTGAGAAGCTGGTGACAAGAGGGGGCTTAATATGAGATGAACTAGGAAAGTCTTTCAGTGTCCTACAACACATCCCCAGAGGCCCCTAGCTTCGGATTTTCCTTGCAACTCTGGCAGGTAGCTCCTCTCACACTGCCAGCACACCCCCTTTGCTCACGCTGCTTGCTCTCTATATCTAATAACATCTCCACTCCTTTCTA